TGAACTTTATTTTTGTTTTCATTCATAATAAAAGAAATGAAAGTCCATACAATAGCGTATCGATATGGGTATGAATATCGGTATAAGTAGGATTCTTCTCTCGATTCACATTCATACCCATGTTCACACGCAAAATTCTACAAATCATAAGGTTAAGTGTATTATTTGTGAGTTTCTGAATACTCTAAAATTGTAATCAAAGTTTTTGAATCTTGCACACAGGATACGTCTCCGATTACACATAATTTACATCAACTAATGTCAGATGTTTTGAATCACAAGCAATTTGTTCTTTTTTTAAAGAGGAAAACTTTCAGTTGAGTGAAAAATCATAACTTTTTTCAAGAAGTTTTTTTCGCCACCGTGAGGTTCATGGCTCGAAAGTTATTTTTCTAATTACCGTTACGTAACACTGAAATAGCTCTCCGTTTACAGGGCACAATATATTTATTCAAATTCAATAGATTAATCAAAATACCATATATCATATTAAGGGTTGTTTCATCGAACACAGTCAACGGATCGTTTATAATGACTTAACGAAGGATAACATATTTTTCGTCGTGACATGAAACAAATTAATTTCATTAAATAGAATGAACATCTGTCTGTTTCTTTTGCGTGTAAACTAACTTGATTTTCTATAGAATTCTATACAAAATTTGTGGGCAATTACTCTTGACGGTCCTGAAGCACTGCTTGATCCCTAGCATGATCGAAGCATGAACACGTCTATTCAGATGTTGGATAAAATGATTGTGTGATTATATAAATTGAACGTTTTGATATGACTGAAGATTGCATTGAGCTCGAGCTCAAAGAGTGGTGGTCACTCTTACCATAGACTATATGGTTGCTCGAAATCGACGCCAATATGGTCGAGTACAGAAGACCTTATTTATTCTATCTTTCAGATTTGGTAAGGAACATATGCAAATGAATGGCAAGAGTAGCTGCACCCAATATGTGAGAAAGAATGCAAAAGGTAGTACTTGGATTGGGACCAGCATACCCAGTTGAACGGCAAGACCTAGGCTCATACTGAAAAAATTGAAGAAAAAATAGACGACTGCAATAGATAAAACCTGGATAATCATCCTTCGATATTTCCGCCACTGTATTCCTTGACGTCATTGCAGTTTTTGTACTATAACACGAATCAATAGAGCAAGATTGAAGAGAACGATGATGACAGAGGGGACACATCTATGTGTGAAGAGTTCCCAAACGCTAAGAACACCAGTTGTCAGATAACAAGGCAAGCTAGAGCAAACAGGAAATGTGTAATCAAATGTTTGCTGATAAGGTGGAAAGAAAATGGTAAGTATCATTAATGGAAAATAATGGATTAATAGACGTTTCTTGTAAGTCGATAACCATCGGTCATGAAAGACAAGAATATGTCGTTCAATTGAAGTTCAAGCGAAGATAATGGACGTTTAATTGTAAAAGCCGATATCGATCAACCACCAGATAAAGCATACAGCTGGTGTTTCAGAGAACATTGTACCGCGTCGAATGAAATCCATATACCATGGAATATCGATGAGTTGAAAAAACAACGACAAGATGACTAGAACAATAATCGTATGATTGTTCATAGCCTGACGTAAAGATTGATCTGTCAAGAGTTGATAGAAAAGAAAGAAAGAACAAACGATAGCCAGAATATCGAACAGAAGCAAAAGACAGAAACGAAAAGAACGAGGCCAATCGATTTCAGCAATTCCAAAGTAGGATGTTGTTTGATTGTCATCATAATCAGTTGCCATCTTATTCGATTTCTGTTTTTTCTCAAATGAATCCATGCCATGCACATGTACGAAGTAGTTTATCAAACGAGAAAAATAATAGTCAACAAAGCGAAAAGATCAAAAGTATGACATTTTTGAAGGATTTAATTCTATTGCCATTCAATCTATTATGTTCGTTCACGGCATATTAATTCTATGGAAAGAGCATAATTTTTTATGGCAGTACTTTGTAGTGAAAACCATGACTATAATGCTTAGATTGGCAATTAGTCTAAAGTTCATTCAATTTAATGAGTAATATTAATCAGAAAAAATTCAATATGGATCGGATTTAACGCATTGACAATGACTCTATACTCGTTCAGGATTAGAATTATCAAAATAACAGTGTATATGAAATACTATTTCTTACAACTATGATAGAAGACATTTTTAGTTCACAATATAGAACGAAAGAATCGATTCGTCATTTTTCTATGTCTAAGAGATGCATACAGAAAAAAACATGGATTAAAAAGACAATTATCAATCGAGTTGACGATTTGAATTTATTCACCTTTGGATAGAAAAAAAAACAATATTAAACATTTTCCAAGTATTTCTTTGAATAGAGATTCGAACTAGAATAGAAGTTTGTATTGGGTCATTCAGTTTTACCTCCAGTCTGATCATTCGAAAGCGCAAACCAATTATGTCTTATCATAGCGGATCGACCGCTACAGAACAAAACTTTATACCAGTAAAAATGAGGAGAAATACAAATTGAGATTGAATCAAAACGATTCTTGTTGAGATATAATATATAGATTTTCCCTGTCTTCGAACCTTTAAGACTAATTTTGAGGTCAGAGATGCTTTTAGTTTTTTTCTTCTTTTCAATCAAACCTATACAACAACAACTAAGTGACACTGAAACAGCATCGGTCGAAAACTAGACTATTTAGCATTCTTTTTTAAAAACTCAGCCTCCCATTTCTGTACATATCATTCATCATCGTAACCTCAGCACTTGAGATCTCTCGTATACTTCTATAATATCTCAAAAAGTCATTTATGTTAAACCCTTTGGGTGGATCGCTACCATATACATGAAAGATCATTTTCAACGATGTCTATAAATTTTTATGAGAAAACAACATTCATTCTTATAAATGAGAATTAACGCTCTCAGTGTTCGTTCGTCATTGATCGTAAAAAAGCTGGTGATTGAGGATGACCAACTCAAGTCAGATCAGAAGACGAGGGCATGATAAATGCTTATTTCCAAGAACTTCAGATTTCAACACATCGTCATCTAATGAAAATACAAGCTAAGAAACACTACTTTGTTGTTCACAACGAAAACTATTACGATAGATTGTCATCGTCAATGTATTTAAATTGAGAATGAAATATAAATGAGTAAAATTAAATGACATTTCAAATTAAAAAACAACACATACTGATGTCGTTTTAGGCATGGTATCATCATTGCCTATACGAACATGTACAATGCTTATAGAGAATGAGTAAAATTGTACTCCTAATTGACTCTAAAATATTAGAGATTGTCGTCTGGCAACTGTTGCTAGGATCGATCTATGTCTATATATTCATTGATAAAGGCTTCATAAGAATGTTTCTATTTTGGAGTTTCACTCAAAGATGTCTTGTAGTTTTAATGATCTATCATAATCGTATTTATGTAAAAAATAAGGGAATCATAGTCACCTTCATTCACTTATCAGTGCACTCAAATTGAAAAGAAAACACAATTATAAACCCTACTTTTCGTATTTTAATTTCTTTTTTGATTTTTACGTAATTTCTCTTTTTTAAATCATTTATACGATGGTTTTTAATTCCTCATCATTTTTATACATGAATAAAAGACAAGGATAAGTATGTGCTGTTTATAAACACATAATAAAATAAAAGTATGATATATATTCGTCATAGACATTTGATTTAGTTATTTTTAAAGAAGTTTATATGAAATATAACAAAAGGCATATTGTAAATAACACAATAGTGTTTCAAATCAGAAAGAATGCCTTAACATTTCTGACATAGACAAGAACAGATAAAATAATTATATTTAGTTTTATGAAAAAAAGAAATATTAAAGAATCCTATTCATTAGATTTTTTTCAATATTATATATATATATTTACATACACATCTATGCTTTTTTTCCCAAATAATAGATTGAATTCTATATTTAAAAAAGAATATCTTCAAAATTGAAGAAAATAAAAATTAACGGATATCTCTAATTTGGATCTGAAGATATCTTACGTTAATTTGTTTCTTTGTGTTAGATGAATTGAAACTAAATATTTTATCCAAAAATAACTTTTAAATTCCTAAATTATGTTTTAATTTTCATAATAATAATCTTTTCTTTCACTTTTCATATGGTTTCTTCGATTTTTGAGATGAATCTCATATAAATTACAACAATTTCGTAGAACAAAAAGTAGCAAAAAGCATTCAAAATTTAATATGATATGTTTTCCATTATGAAACTTGATTGCAAATTTTTCCAAACATTTTCGGCAAGACATAAGTAATATTTGATCATGAAGACGCTGAATGAGCATTATATCTTGCAGTAACAGTTCACAAAATCATTTTTCTGTGAATATTTGTGAATGCCGAGATCTCTATAGGCCAAAGCTCTCAATATTGAGTTGACGGGACCCTGAAATGTTGTGGATTGATGGATATATATATATATTAATTAATGTATTAGCGACATCTGCTTCTAAAACTGTTGGATTCGATCCACGTAGACCTCTGTTAATTGCATATGAATCATTTTCTCTAACATTTTAGGACATCATATTTTCTGAATGAAAACCACTGAAGGTTTTTTGTAATTATGTCTTTAACTAGACAGATTTTTGTTGAAAATTATCGACTGATTCAGAATGAAATAAAATCTTTTAATTATTTGTTTACTTTAAGAGTACTTATCAAGATACGCAATAGATGAGATTCAATATATGACTGACAACTTCCTTTTTTTGCTCACGTTATATTTAGATTCATTTTCTTTTGCAATGTACTTGACTTGATGACTTTTTTTTTTCATCTTCTTCGCGTAGTTTCTTTTTGTTCTTTACTAGTTCTTGTCATGAATTTATGTTTCTATATAAATTTTGTATTTATAGATTTGAAAAGATGCATTTATCGATGAGGCAATATTAACATATAAATAGATAATATATAAACTTATTTCAATGAAATTTATCTTTTTTTAAAATGTCGTTTTATCGTTATTTATCAACAGTAGTTAAAACGACTAATACCAATATTCAAACATCGGTTCCTTCTGGAATAGTTAAACAATTATCAAAATATTCTTCTCATAAAGAACTTATTGAATATTCTCAACGACCTATTCAATATTGTTATCCAAATCGTATGATCGAAGCTTGTTCACAACATCATTCAGAACCCATAGATCTAATAAAAACTGCATCAGATTTTCATGATCAATTATTAGTACGTTTAGCACATTGTTTAAATTCTTTTCAATCAATTCCATTTTTACCTGGTGTTAATCCAACATTATTATCTTTACATGAACGTTATTTAAAATCTTTTGAAAATTTAATTCAATTTCCTAAAATAAAAACAATGAAAGATGAAGAAAAGTTTTTTCAATTAATCAATAAATTTGTTATACAAAATAATGATGTTATTGGATTATTATCAACTGGTTGTAATGAAGCACAAAAACATTTTAAATCATATAAAATCTTAAAAGATTTTCTTGATAATGTTTTACATATACGTCTTGCAATGCGTTTACTTGCTGAACATTATCTTGAATTACATAAACAACAACAACAAAATAATCCAAATAAATCCGATTGGTATGGTGCTATTTCAATGAAATTTTTACCTGTAAAAACTGTACAACAATGTATTGATGATGTTTCTTCAATATGTTTTGAAACTTATACAGTTGTACCACATGTTCAAATAGAAAATAATATACATGAACCTATACCATTTTTTCCAAGCATTGTAGAATATATTTTACGTGAATTATTAAAAAATTCTATGCGTGCCATTGTTGAATATAATAAAACATCATTAGGTAATATACAAAATGTAAAAAAATATTTTGAAGATAATCGTGATCAACCATTATGTAAAGTTGTTATTTCATCTGATCCTATTGATGAAGTTTTTACAATTGCTGTTAAAGATCATGGTGGTGGTATAACTGCAAGTGATGATCAAATATTTCAATATATGTTTACTGGTAAAGAAATAAATGTGAAAAATTCAAAAAAAAAAAGAAACAGATAAGTATTTTCTTTTTTATTTTAGGTAATATAATGAAAGGTCCTGGAGAAAACAAAGAAGAAGAAGAAGAAATTGATATTTTATCAGATTATCAAGAACGAATGGTACAATCGTAAGTTTCAAAAAAAAAGCAAAAAAAAGATATGAAATCGAATGAAAATTAACTAAACTTTTCAATTTAGATCGAAGCAAATGTTTGGTTATGGATTTGGTCTTCCTATTTGTCGTCTTTATGCGAAATTTTTTGCTGGTTCTTTAACTGTTCAACAAATATCGCGTATTGGTACTGATGCTTATCTTCGTCTAGGTTTTATACATACGAAGTCTGAACGTATCAAGATTTAATCTACAAATAACTGATTCTAGTCTAGTCTTTTGTGCGCATTACGAATAGATATTTTTGCGTTTTTATTTAACAACTAAATAAAACTGGTTATATTTAGATAAAATTGATTTTCATTATTAATAATAATTTCTTAGCACATAAAATCTTAAACATGCCGAATTGAACATATGTATAATGCATTGATAGCTGAGTCAATGATTTAAAAAGACAAGATGATGTTATAAATTTTAATTGAATAACTCATATTATTGTCATGGAAACGTTTTTGAGCTTAATTAGACTTCCAATGATGTCTTAAGAAAGAATATAAGAAGTTTTTTTTAATTTCTTAATTATGGCAGATATAATCACAAAGAAACTCAAATGTTAAAAAGTACTATTATCATTCAATAACAATGCCTGTGATATTTTGTAATCTTATAAGGAAATTACCGCAAGTGTAATGCGTCTTTTGAACTTGCAAGGAGCTTTTGGTAAGACTGCAAAAGTCTAAATGAGTTCATTCCTATGAGCCTTTAAAGTTGATTTATAGCTATTGTATTGAATTTTCAATCCATCTTTACTTAGTTACCAAAAAACTCAAACAATAAAATTTGGACCTGAAATCTTGCATATAGATAGTTCTAATAATCCTTAGAGAATATCTCGAAAGTTTCAGCCATAGAAAACTTTTCGATTATGAAGATATTGAATTTTCCGATGCAAAATTTCGGATCGAAAATTCAACGAAACAGTTGTAGTGCTCGGCTCTAAAAACCCAAAGGAGCGAACTGGCTTATTATTTTCTAGTCTTAATGAGACCTCCTCGTGGGTTCAATATAATGGCAAAGAATGGGTCACAATTAGAGTAATTTCCTCGTTAGAACGAAATTCAATCATAATCTTTATCGTCGTCATTATCTAAAATATGACTTCATGTAACATACGTTTTGTTACTAATCATTTTCGTTGATTTATTATATATATATATATATCATTTGAAGATTAATCAATAGGATCAACAAAGTTAATATTTGTCTAAATCATCTGTACAGTTCTTGTATAAGAGCGGCATCTGAATCTCTTTCCATTTGTTACTATTGACTACAAATCTTAGTAACATGGTAGAGAAACAATAAAAGAAAAGAGTGAAAAAAAAAACCTCGTTGCGAAAACTATATTAAAAAAAAAAGCATTGGCAACTCTTAATTTAAAGAGTTGTTCAAATAAAAAATATGTTTTTTATTCATGACTTATATAAGAAGTTAAAACAGACAGATTTTAAATCATATAGAAATAAAGAAATACTATTATTCATTTTTTTGATTTTGTATTAAGATTATCTTTTTTTGTTTATGGATGGCAATCACAATTATAAGTTGTGGTCCAACAAGTACACCAACTGTTGGTGAACGTCGCACAAATGCATATACATTACCACTTCATTATGTTCAAATTATAGCTATTTTAGTACTATTCTTTCTTATATCGATGAATTATTTAACATTATGTGTTAACATTCCAATTCATCCATGGCAATGGTTAAATATTGTTTTTTCTTCGCTTTTTATTCTTCCTTTTTTTATTGTTTTTATTATATTAACTTATATGGACCCAGCTGAAGATGGAGTAATATGTAAAAGTCGTGGACCAAGAACGGATTTTGATCGTCGTCAACATTCACATGTTATAACAGATCTTTATTGTCATGTATGTGATGTACATGTTACAGAAAAAGCTAAACATTGTTCATCATGTAATAAATGTATTTATTCATTTGATCATCATTGTATATGGCTAAATACATGTATTGGTGGAAAAAACTATCGACTTTTTTTATTAATGTTAACATTAATAGTTATTGGAACTTTATTTATCTTTTTAAATAGTTTACTTCAATTTATTGGTTCATTTCAAGACGTATCATCATCATCATCATCATCATCACTTAGTTTAAAACCATACTATGGTTCAGGTAAGATATTAAGTTTCATCTTTAGATTTAATTACATAGCGTCTTATTTTACTTAATTCCTTTATTCTCTATAACGGTTTCCGAAGAGTTATTGATAAAATCATTTTATATATATAGTATTAGCTTGTCTAATATGCTAATGATGTGATCTGATACATTCGAGTGTGCATATCATTTGAGTGGTCCAATGATTGGGTGATAGAAAAAGAGAATTTAATGACATATTAGAACTTGATTTATGTCTTTTGGTTTTTTTTGACCCCAATTATTGAGTGGACAAAAGATAAAATTAATCTCGTGCTATCGTAGTAATAGAAGAAAGGAGAGAGTAAACCCATAATAATTAATGTCAATAGAATACATATGTTTTTGACATATTTTGTTAGATAAACATCTACATTGCTTTGAGTCATTTTATAACTTCTAAAAATATTTAATTTATAATAAATATTATTTCAACTTTTCAAGAGTTGAGGTTTATAATATATATATATGTATTAACTTTGTCCTTGATTGCTTTTCATCTGTTCAAAAATGATTTGATAGTCAGTTATATATCTTCATATTATTATGAAGCTTTCGAAACATATCTAACTCGTCTTTCGTAAAAGTTCGATTTTGTAAGTCTAATATTTCAAAGTCAAAGCGATAAAAAAATGTCCTTATAATTTTCAAATTTTATATTTTCTTTATTTTCTGCAATTGTTCTACAAATAGTTAGTTCAGTGACCAAACGGAAGGTAAAAGCTTACAACAAAATTATTTGTATCTTTGTTCATGAATTAAATATCTATCAATTAGAAAACGAGATGTTTGCAATTTAATTTTCTTCATCATGATCCTGCTTACTTCTTTTGTTGGCATCTGGATTATAAGTTCGACAAATCTTTCAGTTTCGGTAGAATTAGAGCTGTCAACCTAGCCTGTTTTGTCTTTATGATATTGAGTCAATTTAACAAGCCAAATTTAGAGGCCTGTATGTGATTAAATATCTGTTTTCCACGTATAATTTGAAACTTAAGATGGCACCACAAGTTGATGATTCTGTGAGACTAGGTGTGGGTTATGTCTTCACACGAAGTCATCGATACTTAAAACCCTTTTAACTCTTTGTTGTAATGCCTGATCCCATGTTATTTTTATTATCTGAATTACATTTTTTTTTCGGATTATGTGAAATAGTGTTGATATATTCAAAAACATATCAAGAAATCTCGCGTTTCTTGTATGAAAAATAGATTAAGTACATAACTGAAACTAGAATGATACAATACAATAAGTTTATAAAACTTAATGGATTTAAAAAACACAGAAACATCTGTCGGCCTGGTTTGTCTTGCAGACCAAGCCAGTAAAAAGTGACTTGTTAACAGTTTCAGTTGAGGTCAAAACTAAAATTGATCTCAAACATCATTAGTCAAAAAAATAAGAATACCAATAATCCATGTATGCATAATCTAAATATAGATTCTTAAATCATGAAATTTGATTATAAATTAATACATTTAATCTTTTCGTACAATCATTATGTGTATATTGAAAAAACGAATCTTTATATTTAAACTCATTTTGCAGTACATTCTACGTAGTAAATATGAAAAATAAGTATTATTATAAGTATTATTTCTATTGTAATTAATTCCTAGTTCAATCAAATCATTGTCCAGATTTATTTACTCACAGTCGAAAAATTTGTTGTATTACCAGAGAATGACTATCTATAAGAGAAATGATAAAAAGAAAGTATGGAGACTGCTTATATAAATTCGTCTTATCTATGATGATTTCGTGCCAAGTCATCTTCATATATTTATCTTCTAAATAATCCTTCAGTGATCAATATAGCTCTCATATTAAATAGAGCAATCTATTGATATGTTTCTATTTTATATTTTTTCACCGAATCTTATGTAACATGACTACCGTGTCATGTAATCCTAATACATATTTTTTTTCAATGCGCAATAAGTATCTCTTATTTTCTTTATTAAAAATAGATCAATATGCTATATTAATGATTCCATCATCAAAAGTTGCTTTTCAAGTAATAACAGCCATTTTAGCACTCATTTCTATTGTGGCGTGGGGACTAACTGGATATCTTCTTGTTTTTCATATTTATCTATGTAAGTAGAGAAAAATAGTTCTTCATTCTTCAATTCTTATGAATCTTTTTATTTCTGTGTAGGTTATTATGGTTTTTCAACATATGATTATGTTGTTAATCAACGACTTAATCAAACAGTTGATCAAACACTATCTCAATTTAATCAACTTAATCAAAATCATCGTAATGATCCATTATCATCAACGAAACAATCAAAATTTAGTTTTCAAAAGGTTTAATTTATAATTCATATTTTATTTATTAATCATAGTTTTTTTATTTTATAGAGAAATAAGACTAATCAAATAGCAGTGAATCAAGAAAATGATATAGTCGATCATTCAAAGCAAGATCATAATCCACAAATTTTTACTATTGAAGAAAATTGTGTATGTAACATATTTTAAGTAACAAAAAAAGAGACTATTGATTTCAAATAAATGTATGTTTGTAGAGAGATTCTTCACGACGTTTACAAGTATGTCAAAGTTCCAATGAAGAAGCTTATGTTCTCAAAGGTGCATCGCAAATAGATAATGGATATTAGTGAATAGCATGTCAAAAGTATTTATTATTCTATAAAAAATTAATTATTGAAGCCATCATTTTTTTTTGTTCAAATAGATCATTAATATTAATTATGATGGTGGAACAAGTGCATTTTTTAACTGTGTATTTTATAACAGTGATATATCTGCATATTGCATGTCAGTGATATGACAATTACAGATCTGCTTTCTTTTTAATAGTGCTGTATTTGTTATTCGTTTATACAAAAAAACTATTACGAAATATGTTAATAAAAAAAAACAAAACAGTAAGAAATAAGTGTTTTTTTTTGTTGAATATATCAACGATGACGAACAAAATTACTTACAGGCTAAACCAAATCGATCGACGGTTTTAATTTTCTGACTAAATTTAATTCTATAACTCTGCATTATTGTATCACAATAACAAAAAAAAACGGGGCATACAACCAATATGTGAGGAATAGGCGATACTAATAATAACAGGCTAAGACATTTACATTTGACAATCAATGTTTGCAACAGCATGCACAAAACATTTACTATCCGAAATGCTTTGGATCTAAATAAGTTCTTCTGTCAGTGAATGTAGGTTATACAGTACTAAATTGACATTTGGCTCAAGCATTTGTTGTTGGAATCGAATGAAGTTGTCAAAGTGCTCCCTAAAAATAAAGCGATACATCAACATTTGATTTTTACAACTTAAGAGTTAAGCGAACAGCTCTGATGATGACATTGATTTAAAAAGTCAACACATCATAATAAAGAATAAATAAAAACGAATTTTTGCAAAATTTATTGTCATATAATTTTCTTCGATTTCAATTGCTTGTGTATCAAATAATTTCTTGTTCTAGATTCAAACAGAAAAGAAAACGAGCACTTTATTTTCTTTTAATGATTTAGAAATTTTTCAATGATTGAGTATTCGTGTATTTCATGAAATTTTTTCATTGATAAAACAAAGTTTCTCGATATGAACATTACCTTATTCGAAACAATTAGCACGTATTTTTATTTTCATGAGAATAAAGTCTTCTGTAATGAAAGGAAACATTTTTTGAACTAGACGTGAATTTTGAAAAGAAAAACAACAACAACAACAGTGCTTGGTGTAACATCTGGTCATTTTTGTATCAATAGTTAGTAACATTAAATCATATCAGCACTTGTTGATTTATCTCTGATGAAAAAAGTTGATTTAATAAATTGTTGGGAAGAAGAAAAAGGTCATCTTGTGTAGTTGACAAGCGATTATAACTAATTACTTATAGTTTACAAAAAAAAAGAAATTGAAAATCTTTCAATAATGACTATCTCCATAAAGTGAGTACCTTTTTTAATTGGTTCTGATAGTACTCGCAAGAAGAGAAATTTCATTGTATTGTTCAATTTTCTTTTTATCCAATTATTTTTTTATTAATGTTTTATAAGATTCAACTAAGAATTTAAAACTAGAGAGGAGATGTGGAGGCTCGTATCATTTTATGTCATTGAGATAAAACATAGTTAATGACACTTACTTTCATGTTGCATTTTGCATTTTATGACGTTGGTAGGATTCAGAAAAAAAAATTCCTTATTTGTGTCAGAAAAATGTACGTTTAAAGAAATATGCCAACATTGTGATTTATTTTATTTTGACTTTCGAAAGAAAAACTTTGAATTTATTTTACTGAAAAGTAGAATAAGGCTAAAGCAGTGGTTTTGACAAAAAGAAAAGGAATTCTACTATTGGTGGGCTCATTTCATTGAAAATCTTTCTTAGGCATGTAAGTTGAACAATTGAAGACAAAGAAGAATTTGGGCAACTTGTAATTTATCCAACTCGAGTTTCTCGTACAGTTTTTCTTCACATCATTATCAATATAGAAGACGTCCCATCCGTAACTTGTAGTATTTTCATCATAATCATTTATCATATATGATCGAGCATCTTTCAGTCTGTATTATCAATCATGAAACAGATTGTACATAATTATATGATGCCGATAATATCTAATTAAAGTTTCTTACTCTATTGAGTAAAATGATAAATTCCATGGAATTATAAATTTTCTAGTTATTACTATTCGAGAAGATATTTCTAATAATTAAATTCAACAAACAGAAAATCATGGATATTTTTCAATGTTGAATCATTGAAAACGAAAATTAAGAGATTACACTGAGGTATTAACAAATATTCTATTTTATAGTCTATTTCAATATTATTTATTGTAATTTTCATTTATGAAAATTTTCCTTTTTTTGTTGTCCTGTAAAAGATTATTAGTTTCTTTTTATTGATTCAGTTATCGTAAAATTCACTTGAAAATCATGCATAAAATACACATATTATATGTGCATCATTTAATGTAGTCAATTTTGTATATTGCAACACAAATGCATCCAGTTTTAACCACTTCCATTTTTCTTTTGTTCCTTACGATATTTTAAGATAAGTCGTATCAATATCCATTATGAATCGATAGTGATATTATAAATATTTTTACTGATGATGCTGTTGATTTAAGCATTGTTCTTACTCACATCGTTTCTATTTCTAATGATTATATCATGCATAAATACAAGTTTTAATAACTAACATCTATGGTATTTTATCTCTTAACCTGTATTCACTCTATATTTTCAGGAATTACTTATGTAAATAAGATATAGTGCAGTAAATTTTCATTAAAGTAGTTTTGTTTCTAAATTTTATTTATTAATATTTTCATAGAGATAAGTTTCGACATAAAAATCTGTAAACTTTTAATTTTATCTCATCAAAAAAAAGACACATTTAATAAATATTTCTTTATTGAATAGAAACTAGCGATCTCTAGCATTGATATATCTATGTGCACATATTCTATTGGTTTGATGCGGTAAACCGATTCACATTAATACACAACACACACACACAAACACAAAGGTACAAAGAAAGAATGGAATAAGGATAATAGATAATCGCAATGCTAACCTATTATTTCATATAAATTTTATAGTCAATAACAAGTTCATTTGCGTTTTTATTTCTAGATTCTCGATCTTAACATAATTCATTCCTATTTTTTTTTTATATTGTTATAAAATCAATTATGTTCGAGGTATAGATTATGAATTATAAATTTCTAATTTGATTATTTATTATAATTAGGCTCGTCTTTTACATGGTTCAATCTTTGCTAAAGTTATTGAAGGTCTTCGTGAATTAGTCAATGAAGCAACATGGGAATGTAGTGGCAATGGAATAACATTACAAGCAATGGATAGTTCTCATGTTGCTTTAGTTTCACTTGTTATGCGAAGTGAAGGTTTTGAATCATATCGATGTGATCGAAATATGAGTTTAGGTATTAGTCTAGTTAGGTATGATTTATTAAATTAATACTTAAAATTTTATTAATTATTCGTTTATTTAGCATGTCTAAAGTATTGAAAACTATGGGTAAAGATGATTCATTAACTATTCGTGTTAATGACGATTCAGATTCAATTATAATTGCTATGGAATCTCAAAGTAAATTATTCATAACACAAAATGAAATTATTTTTTTAAATTATTCGAATTTTTCTTTCTTTTTGTTTGTCTAGATCAAGATAAATTTGCTGATTATGAATTACGTTTAATGGATTTAGATAGTGAACATTTAGGCATTCCAGATACAGATTATTCATGTACAATTAAGATGCCAAGTAGTGAATTTTCTCGTATTTGTCGTGATATGAGTATTATGGGTGATTCAGTTCTTGTTTGCACAACTAAAGAAGGTGTTAAATTTTCAGCTAAAGGCGATCTTGGTCAAGGTATGTTTCATTTTTATAAAAGATTTCCATTTTTAGTATGAAAAGAGCTTCAAAAATCAGTAAAAAAAATAAATATTTTTGCCATAGCTTGGTCAAATAGACTGATTTTTTGACTTATGATTAATTATTGTTTGATTCTAACAGGTCTTCTTAGTTGATCGACAATTTCGAATGAGGAAAGTCTTGTAATCGGTCAATGGTTTTTGACTTAAGACCACATGCATTATGTTGACTCAAATGCAATATAAATACTCTGAGAAGAGTTTGTGTCTTTAACTTATTCTTGCAAAGATACTACATTTTTATAGTAACTTTTAAATAAATAATGTATTGTGAAAATTTCAAATCTTCTGGTTGTAATTTAAAATCGCGACAACAAATAGATTTGAAACTGTCACACGAAACTACTTTCGATAGAATACTATTTCCAAGCCGAGATCACAGCAATTATTTAAAAAGTATCATAAAAATGTAGAATTTCGATGTCAATAAGTTACGTGCGCATAATTTCGACTCAAAAACAATTAACTAGTAGCAGATCATTTGTTCATAATAATTTTCATTGTATTCGTTCTTATTTCGTCACAATCATAGTCTCAAAACGATTGACTAGTGAACAAACTTTCAGAATTTTTAATATTGCATGTAAAAATTCTAAAATGTCATGTATGAATTAGTCTCATTGAAACTTTGATTGCGACAATAAAAGAGCTAATACTTCTAGAGATGATCTCGAGCTGATTCTTCATCAAAAAGTAATCTAGTAAGTTTGCATTTCTGTGTTGAAATCCATAGTGACACATCAGTATATTGGTAACAAGAGTTAGCCTTATTAATTAAACTATAGTAGAAATATTTTATTTTTAAATTTTTCTAGGTAGTATTCGTCTTGTTCAAACAACAAATATTGAAAAAGAAGAAGAAGCAGTTATTATTGAAATGAAAGAAGCTGTTGCACTTACATTTGCTGTACGATATTTAAGTATGTTTTGTAAGGCAGCACCACTTTCACCTCAAGTTGGTTTAAGCCTTTCCGAAGATACACCTTTAAGTATGTATTTATTAGAGTAGAACTACTTTTTTTTTTTTTACTTAATTCTTTTATTTTAGTGTGCGAATTTAAAATTGCTGAAATGGGTCATGTTCGCTTTTATTTGGCACCAAAGATTGAAGATGCAGATAATTAAATCCAACAAGATATAGAAAATAGTCAAATATAAACATGTCAGATAGATATTATTTTTCTGTTCTTCTCTATATATTCTCTATAAAATAATGAACATTGGATATATAAGGATATTCTTTTTTTTGTCATATAAAATCTATATCTTATTTCTAGATTATTTACAATGAGCAATACTGTGAGCTCAAGAAATTCTTTTTTTTTTGAAGAAAAATGAAAAAGAACTATTTTTAATAATAGGTTACGACAAATAATTCTTCCGAAAAGCCAGTAAAAATAAACAAATGGGAAACGAATGCATTGAAAAATGCATTAGATGATGCATGCAAAAAGGTATTATTTCTTTCTCTCTCTCTCTGTCTCTTATAATTTTTTATTTTTATTTTTCTGATTTTAGTATTTTAAAGAGGCACTTCATTTTACAGAAGAATATCAATTAATGGATGGTCGTCTTTATATATCTTTTATTGCATGTTTATTTTCCGGATTTGCTTTAATCTATGATTGGTTACATCCATTCCCAAAATCACGTTCGATACTCATTATTTGCGTCATAGCGTAAGAAAACAAAATATATATATTTTCGGGCATATAAAAATATAGTGGCTAAAGTATTTTAATTTCTTATTAAAATTCTAAAAAAAAAATATATTCTTCGGTAGCAAAGATGAAGTTGATTCGCAATTCATTAGTATTCAACTAATCACATGTCTGCTGTTTATCATGATATTTGACAGTAATATTTTATCTTTGATTTGTGTCAGTTTTGATTATTCAACTTAATCAAATAAAACCAAAACGATTGCAAATCATTGCATCTTGTCGTAAGCAAGTTCATAGAAAGAAGAATGTAAGAGACATTCGATACATGGATGCAATTGAGTGTGAATGATCAAAACGTTTTTCAAGTATTTAAATAATAAAGACTTGATGAATTTATTTCTGACTTTCGTTTTGTTTTAGTGTTATCAGTTTTTTTGTAAATTCATATTTATCTATGACTAGGTTTTAGAGAAGGATACAAATCAAAAATAAAATATCATAATTAATAATTCTGATCGACATTTTAATATTATAATTTAACGATTTTTTTTTCATGAGAAATTGAAATACTTTTACTATGCTTTAAACTAGAATTTAGTATTATTTAATTAGATAATATTTTTCTCTTAGTTATTTTATTCTTATGGGTATTCTAACAGTATATATGCAATTTATTGAACGAAGTAGATTTTATGCTGGTAAACTTGGTAAGATTTTTTATTTGTCTATTTTTATTATCTAATAATATGTATTGATTTAGTTGATAGAACTGGTATTGATCCTATATCACGTTGTATGATTTCATCTAAACTTAAAAAGTAAATAATCAAACATACAATTCATCAACAATTTTGTTTTTTTTTTTTTCTTGTTTCTAAATATTTTAGATATGATGATAAATATAATTTAACTTTGGAATATAATGATGGTACAGATAAAACAACAAATTCTTCACAAATAATATCAAAATCTGTTGGTACTTATTTTGATGAGAATGGTGTTTTATGTTATGATCGTTTTACGAATGATTTAAAGAAGATGTATGATCAAGCACGTTTAAATGCGCGTAAAGTTAAATAATAATCAAGAAATAAATAACTTCTGAAATAGAAAATAAAAAAAAAAAAAAGAAACAATGTTATTCGTTGTTATTTATCATATTTAATGCTTAAAAAAAAATAAACGATTTTAACATCTATATTTTTTCTGTTTTTTTTGTTTTTGATCTTGTCGATAGAGACATGCGTAATAATGTTGTTTTTCTTCTAATTGTTTAAGATGATAATGAAAAAATAAAAGTTGAATTAAATGATAACTAAAATAGATTAATAGAATAATATGAATAAATTCAATAAATTTATTTATATTTATTGGATAATCATCTTTGATATATAAATGACATTGCTGTGTAATTGAATTTGTTAAAAAAGAAAATGTTGGTAAAAGATGAATAAAATGAAAATTTTTTAACCAATTCCATATGTTAATATGAGGACTTTTTATAAAAGATATTGTCGATTGACATCGTTGTAATTCTAATGCAAGATCAAATGGTTGATATTTATTCCAAATATGAGACAATAATGAAGAAATACCAACTAAGAGACTAGCAAAGAATAGACGAGCAAAATGAATTAAATAACCTTTTTTAGATAACATTATAGATTAAAAAACAAGCGGGAAAAATATTTTTTTTCAATAAGATGATAGTTAATTTTATTTTTAATAATTAATTTCACACAAATACATAATTGATTCATATTGATCAAGAGAATTCAATCTAATTTTATCATTTAGTAGTTCTACTACATTTTTTGACATGGCTAAAAACAAATAAATATCATTCTTTTAAAGTATTACTATTAGATATCTGAATTAATGTTGGTATTGTTTTGAAATTTGAAAGACATTTTAAATGTTAAATAAATAAAACAAAATATTTGAATAGAAACATGAATTTGTATGAATTTTAAATGTTTTATAAATAATCGATACAATTCAAATGATAATCTGATAGAAGGATACTACTTTTGTGCCATCAATCATCAAGCTAATGATTTTTATGGTATATGGCTGATGATTATCGATTGTTTGTCGAACTTTATTTTCTTTACTGTATTGTAAAATACGAGAGAGATAGGAAAAGAAGGATGTAGGATGGTCAGGTTTCGCTGATAAAACTTTGAACAATGGCAAAAGTCAGATGAAATTTCAAAAGCCATCACAAGACAATATTAATATAGGATATATGTGAGGACTAAAGCTAACGTTTTTAGAATATATATGTATCATAGCTTACATTCCTCCATGTCTAATTGATAGTCGAATTGGTGAAACTTGAAAATTATAAGAAAATGTTTTTTAATTAAAAAAAAACGTTTTCTCATCAAAAACTAACGGATTGTGAATTACCGATCATAATGACTCTTAATAGAACCATGAGAAATTCTCTTAGATCTTTATATACTAATTTTTCTAGACTAACAAGCTTTTCGCAAGAATGTTGTTTTTTTTTTATTCGGTTCAAATGAGAGCATTTTGAATTGCCTAGAGTGCAGTAATTTTTTTCTGTTACAAGTAGTTCTTCTATGCAGAAAATGCAGCTATTTTAATTCATGCCATAGATACTTGTCAATGTTTCATCTTGAAAACCATTAGCATGTTTTTATTGTACTAAAAACTCATATTTAGAAAACAGAAAAAAATTTTGCCTTACAGACCAATTGCTATGCTTCATAATCTGAATAGATCAAAAACGCTTTTAGGAAAATATTTTTTAGTCTAGAAAAACCAAAAAAAAAAATGACCTGACACTATTTCTTATGATTATATTTAAAATGAATATGGTCGATAATTAATGATCCTCTAGCATTTCATGAGAAAGTGATTAATTAGTTGAAAGCGTTTTCTTATTAAGGTCTTCTAATTTTTTTAATTATGTCAATGAACAAAATTATTTAAAAGAAAAACACTGACACACATAATCTGATGAAGACAATTAATAGTTTTAAAACGAGCAGATGCAAGTTACTGATAATTGCGTCTCATCTAATCATACTTATGATAAGCACAAGCTAACTTCTTAATGAGACAACTTATAAATGATATGTTTGTCATATTCGAAGATAATTTGTCTGATAAGAGTATTAAATGTGAAAAGAATTTTAATAAAAAATTTCAGCTGCAGTGTACTTTCAATGGTATCTAATATTATTAGATGGATTTGATCTGAATTATTTTTATATAATTTACGTAATATTTTATTGATAAATAGAACGGCATGTCGTTGAATGTTATACTTTGAAGTCCGGAAAAGTTGTTTATTCTCACATAAAATATGTCCTTATCAACCTGACATTATATGATTATTATATCTATAAATAAATCCATTATTTTGAAGTAAAAAGCTTAAATAAAACGCCTTATGCGAAAAGTTATTAGATTTTTTTTTCTATCTATAACAACACAAATAGAACAATATTCATTGGATAATATTTGATAATCAATTTAATAGAATTTCTTATATAGTTGAATAAACAAATAATGCAGAGTTCAATTCTATTTTGTTTTTAGATTGAATGGACTGAAACATTATTCAGCAGTTTAGGAGCAACAATGTCATTTTACTTGAATAGCTTATATATTAATATAGTCTTTTGAGAATAACTTTCTTGGTCAAAACATTCATTAATAATTATATCATTTAAATTTTCTACTTCAACATTTAGGGTAATTAGAAGGTAGAATTCATTGTAATCTTTCAAAAATGTTTGAGTTATATATTGTTTGCTTTCATTAATTAAAAGAGCATCAATTGTTGATATTATTTAGGTTTTTATATATACCAATAAACTCTATATAGATCTTTTCGATTCAATGATTTGTCAAATAAAAACGAACATTATTCTATTCTCAAGGCGTAATACATGTAAAAGAGAAAATTTTTTTTCTTTGATAATTATCATCAATGGGGACAATTGTTTTTTAAAACGTCGTGTATGTTTCTTTTGTTCTCTTGAATATCTATTTTCAACTCCATTAAGAATAATTGTGCTATTAATATTTATTTTTGCATTAACTTCTTGGAAATATACGTCTACTTCGTAATGGAATTAAAAATATGTGTCAAAAAAAATGAAAAAAATGCAATTGTTTTTTCAAAAGTTAAAGAATGATGGTACAAAAATCTGATTTCATATAGATTCAAGCCAAATCTTTTGTGATTGCGACTTTGTCTGAAAAGACAAACCGAACTGATTGCATCACCTGTTAAGTATTGTTCTGTCTTTGTCGATTAATATGTCATTTGATAGCTAGTCGCAATCGTATAATTCAACATAAAATTTCATTATCTGCCGAATCCATATGTAAATCATCGCATATAATTAATACAGGTTTGATTCAATTAAGTAGTCTATTCGTCAACGGATTGAATAGATTGAAAAATTGAACTTATATTATTTTCACATAACATAAAATCATTCTTAATTTACTAAAATGTAAAACATCTCAAACAATAAAGAACAACATATGTAAACGTTTTATATTTCATCGATCTGTCTTATAGTAGAAATATGATATGATTTATGTATTGTTTGAAGGCAAATATTAAACATTAAAATAGAAATATCAATTATAATTAAAAGTAACTGTTAAATTAATCATATTTTTGAAGTATAATATTCAATAGAACAGAAATAAAAAGTTGTTGTTTTTTTTTGCTTGAAAGAAAAGCTAATGAACTATATAGATCATATTTTTAACGCTTTTCTTATTTTGATGAATTTTACACATAAAACAGTATCTTGTCGTACATTATTTTGATGTTATCATGCTGAGTACTAATACGCAGTTAACAAATAATAATATTTTAATTCGAAGGTAATAATATTCTCGTATATAATTTTCAAATTATTCTTTTAATAAATAAATAAAACATTTATTTTTTCTTAATTAGTTCTTCTTTATACAGTTGATGTATCAATCATTCTATTTAATCCTAGACTGGTACCATCTTGATTTGTTTTAAAAACAAATTTTCGACATGTTATTGTTTGTAAAAATTCACCACGAAATATTTGACTTGTTAAACAATACAAATAAAAATTACAAGCAAAATGTAAATACATTATTGCTCGAAGCATTCGAAATATAAATATATAATATGCACCATCACGTGCAAATTTTGGATTATTTACAATAGTTTGTTCAATAAAAATAAGATAAATTGTTACAGGTACTGTTGTACAAAGAAATACAATAACACATGATAACATCATTAATGACATTTGTCGTTCAATAGCTTTTCGATGTGATGAAGTTCGTTTCATAGGACTAATACCATTTAATGTTAAATGAATATTTGTTATTGTTATTTGTTCAATTGTATTTCCATGATTTTCAAAATGATGACGATTTCGTCGAAGTATATAAATAATACGTATATTACATAATATCATAATACAAGCTGGTAAAAAACAAAAAACAATCATATCTATTTTTGGCCAAATTATTTTATAAAAATAATAATATTTTGGGTATGTTTCACGATTTTCTAAACAATGTGCTGTTGTACGATTTCCACCACGTTCTTGACCAATACCTGGAGAAAAATAATGTCCATTAATACCACATAAAATAAGAAAACATATTGAAATCATTACTAATGCATTACGTGGTGTGCATATTCTTTTAGAACGTAAAGGAATTTCTGTACGTAAAAAACGATCAAATGCTAAACCAACTATACACCATGATGATAAATCCATAAAAACATATGCAAAAAATGTACGGAAACGGCATGCAAGTGCAGAATAATTTTGTAATTGAATAGAAAATGCATCAGCCAAAAAGAACCATAAGGATGTTATAAGTGCAATAGAATCACTAATTGAAAGAATAAGTAGAAATATACTACTGGAGATTTGACGCATACGTGGGCTGGAAAATGTGATAAGTGCCAGTGTATTACCAATAAATCCTAAGAAATAAATAATCGAATAAAGAATTGTACCAATACGATTTCCCAATAAGTTATAATCGACAACTATCATCGATTGAGTCGATGAACGATTTGTCGTAAGATTCATTGAGTACGTTAAAGTTGTCATAAGTATATATATATATATATATGAAATAAGTTATGAGAAAGAACAAGTTTTTCTCTTTAAAGACATGCTACCATAGAAGAGTACAAGATTCATTTTTCATAAGGCTGTAAGTAAATTTTTGCTTCATTTAACTTGTCTTGGAAGAAAGACGAATAACTGAATGTTAATGAGAATTATTGTCATTAGATGAAGTTGTCCTTTGATAATGTGAGATATATATTCCTTTTTTTTTCTTATCTAACATCATTATGAAGAAGTATGAAATTTTTCTCAGTAACATGCGCAGCTTATTTTATATCATTTTTTAATTACCTTCATTTTTTAAAAATATATTATTCTTTGTTCTTTTTTTTCTATTATAGAAAAAAAAATGAAGTGTTTATTAGTGTCGAAAGATTATTATCTTAAAATATTGTTTAATAAATATGTGATGATGACAGAAGTTTCAGCTTATTGATACTTTGTTTTCCCGAATCTTTAGAAAATAAAGTGTTGTCTAAGAATTGTCTAGAAGATAAGACTTGATACCGCGATTCATGTTTGTGGGGTAGTGGTATATGAATATGTTCACCGTTTGGTAAATTAATAAGAACAAAATAGGGTGTAGGATGTGTTATAATACGTGAGGAAGGTGATAAAGTATGCGACGATGAAAATGTCGTCGATAATTGATGACAGCTGGCTGAACGGGCCCACGGTCGTAACAAATGTTGCTTTTTGTTTCGAGTAAAATAGGGTCGTATCCAGTATAATGCTTCAGATATAGTATAACTACATAAATTGTCGTTATTAATTGTTTGAACTGAGAACTTCTTTGTCGTTGGTTGGTTAACCTAAGAAAGAGAATAGACAAGAAAAAGAAAAACCAAAGAAACGAGAGAGGACAAAATCGGTGATGAAAGACATCGAAAATAAATTTTTGTTTTGCGTATCTCATGAAAGATAATTCAATGTTTCTAGACTTTTTTCTTTTATTGCATCAAAGTCCATAAACAAAGAATAATGAAAGATAAATAAGAATTAGTTTTTTTAGTTAGATTATAGACTGTCACTTACTGAGTGCATATATTAATAATAATAAAAAGTACATCTTTTCAAGCCTCCTTTCCTATTAGGAAATACAAACATTGGTAAACATATTATTTGTAGACGACATTTATTTTAAGCCTAGAAAAAACTCTTTTTAAACTTACAGGTATTTTTAATGACCGAAGATTTGTTATATAATGTTGTGTTTGATTATTTAATTTTAATAAACGATTTGTTCGATTTTGATATCGATCTTCATATTTATTTTCAATTAAAAAACATAAAATATTTTTTGCATGAAAACGAAATCGTCGTGATAGAATAATACAAATAAAACATTTATATGCATATGATAAAGTTATAAATGATTGTACTTCATGATTAAAATTAATTAAATATGAATAAAATGGTGAATATGGTGATAATGACATAAGTAATATATCACTTAATCGACTTGGTAAATTAAAAAATGAATGTATAATACCAATAGTTGCAGCAATATATTGAAAAGAATTATTTAATTTTTCATCATATTTTTTATTTTGACATGTACGATATATAATTATAATTGAAGTAATAAATATAATTATACATGGCATAGAAATTCCAAGCAGATTATATCCATAATTAGTTGCATTTAATAATTGTTTATTTGTTGCATCTAATAGTATTGAACATACACCAGCAACTCCTTCTACTCTTAGATATTTATAGTTTATTTTAAATGACAAAAAAAAGACAAAATTTTTTTTTAAATTTTTTACCTTGCTGATAATCTTGTAAATCTTCTTTTTTTTGATACTTAAGAACTTCTATTGGATATATATTGTAAATACCACAAATGAATATAAGAAAAACAGTTGAGTATTTTGCATTAATATAATATAGACTACGATTCCAACATGAATATTCCTCATTATATTTCATTGTTAAAATAAATTGATTAAGTATCAAAAAAAATAATAACCATGTTGCAAGAAGAACACTCATTTTAGCAAAATATGTAAAAAATTTACAACAAAAATCTGATACATGTATTAAATAATGTTGACCAGCTGAACGATCTTTATGAATATAACTTAAAAAATTATCCATAAAATGATAAAGAATTAATAATGTATCAATAAAAATAATTTCAAATAGAAATCTTTCAAATGAACCTGTTGGAGTATTTCTTAAATATGATATTTGCGTTGAATCATTATTATTATTATTATTATTATTATTACGTCGACTAAATAAACCATTTCGTATAAGAATAACTAGTAGAAGAATATTTAATGGTAAACCAACTAATGCTGAACATACAGCAAAAAAAACATATTTATCATAATGAATATCAACTAATTCACTATAGAATTGATAAGCTGTTTCATTATAAAAAAATGAAATTACGGATTCATTATTAATCATAATTTTGAAATGATTGTATTTACTTATTGCAAACAACAAAACTGAAAAAAAAAAAGAAAATAAATACTGTCTTAAAAAATAAAGCAAATAACTATTTGTAAATATTCAAATTTAATTCAATTAGATGATGATAAAGTATTCCCAAAAGACTTAAATATTTCAATTTGTTTTGACTCACTTTTTATATTGATTAGAATATATCTTTGATATCTATTAATATAAAATAATTCCAGCTTTATTTCTATATGATACTATCAAATAATCAAAACATTTGTATCATGTGAAAATTTACAATAATCGTTGTCATTTTTCTCATTTTCTTCTCTTTTGACATTTTTACTATTAATGCTAATGTTAATGCCAACTAGTATCCTGATTTCTTTTTTTTTCCCTATCGTTTTTCAACTTGATTAACTTCTTTTTTTCTATGAAAAAGAAAATTTCTAGAATTGTAATAAGATGCATTACCGTAATTCATCAGAATAATGATAGACAAAAAGGCAGATTATTTATTTCCTGTTTTTCATAAAATCTTTTAATTGGTTGATATGATTCATTGAAACTAAAGAAATATAATATTTTATTTATCTTCTGTCTTTTTTCTTTGTTCACTGTATCGTTTAAAATATTCATCTGTCTAACTTAACAAAAAAAGCATTTTATTGATATTTTTGAAACAATTATTGATAGTATAAGACTATTCTTTGTATATGTTGTCACTTAATTCGAATAAAAACATATTGAGTATTGCAGTAGTCAGAAACACTTTTCTTCATTTTTTCACTATTGTTGTTGTAAATAACTATATCTAATATTAGTGGTATTCTCATGTAGTTTTTTTCTATTATGAATCAGATGCTAGTAAATAGAAAATATTCCCTAAGGTTAAGACAGCTGAGTTCTAAAACTTGAATTCTTTTCAATATACTAATGATAGCACTCAAGATATTGACCTAGTAATCAAAATAGACATACTTAGAAAATAATAGAATAAATACATCCCTATAGCAAAATAAGAATATCTTGACTTATCTAGATGATGACTTTATTCTTACCAATTATGCCTATGATTGTGAAGTTTTTTAAAATAAATATTCGTTTTTTTGTCGTTTGTATGAGCAAATTATGTTTATCTCACGAGAATCGTTTAAATATAAAGAAAATAATAGTCGAGAATTTGTATATTCTGTTTATCGATCTGTAATTTACCGATAATACAAAAAAAAAATGATTAAGTCAATGGGTTGAATAGTAGAGATGTACCAATTCTAATACCGAGTTTTGACTTGAAATCGAATGCTTAGTTTATATAAATTGGTATAAAATTATTCATTCTACGTCAATTGATTTCAATTCGTGTACTGGATATATTCCTGTTGAATAGTCATATTATACATATGACCTTAATAGAAAAAAAAAGAAAAATATCAATCGATTGTACTGAAATTATTGACAATTAATATAAATTTTTAATCATTAAAAATATAGGAAAATAGTATATACGAAAATTGAGAAAACATCAATGGATGGTCTATAATGAATAGACGGTTTTTTTTTCTTTGTATCTCTTAGCACATTTTATATGAGTAGTGTCACATATCCAAGATTTTGGAGATGCTACCACATCTCCCACGGAAGATGCCGCGTCTTCCGCTGGAGATGCGGCACTCACACTCGAGAGATGCGGCCATTCACCATCGGAGATATAAGATCACCTTTATAGATGCGCATCCCCACACCCACACCCACACCCGCATCTCTCGCGCGAGATGCGGCATCTCCCGCGGGAGATGTAGTAGCATCTCCAAAATCTCGGATATGTGACACTGCTGTTTTATATAAACGCAACATATATAACACAAGATGCAACATAAAAAGCTCTACAATATACTAATAACACTTTGAAAAATATATATTATATACACGCTTTGTTTTTAAAATGGGCAAGATTCTACGTGATTAATTTTCAACACTGCAAATATGACCATTTTTTGAAAAGTAATCTATTCGTTTTTCTATCTCATTGATGTCAGACAGTTCTATTCATTAATAAAAAAAAATATTTTTCATTAGAATGTATCCGTGCTGCATGTCGACAGGAAACAGACAAATAAAAGGATATAAAATCAAAAGACAAAAAAATATTCAAAAAGAAATATAGTTTCGTTAGGTACATCTCAAATCTTCAATTATATTTAAACCTGATGAATGATTAATACACGAAAATTATTTCAAAATCGTTCTCCTACTTGCATAATTTGAAATCAAACAGATCGCGAACGACAGTTTAATCTATGAGTAAAACAATGCCATGCCACAAACATATGAGAAATTATCGACATGATGTAAAGAAAAATTAATGCAATTTATAAATAAATATCGATGACCACCGAAAAATAGTCTGGATCTCAATGGTTTAGATTATTATGTGTAGGACACTATCATCAATAAATTAAAACATCATAGTTCTTCTGTCGAAGAAATAGGTAGAGAAATTCGTCGTGTACTAAAATAATAATTTTGTTCGCAGCGCCGAAGAATTGATTATACGGAATTTCGCCCATTTTAAACATAAAGAGTGCATATAATTAAAGAAAATATATTTTTATCGATATATTATAGAACATGTTTCAAGCGCATTTTGTGATATATATATATAGATATTACTTGTAAATAAAATGTACTAATTAATGAAAAGGTAAAAGAAAAAGATACAATAATCAGCCATTTATTATGAAGTACCTGCAAGTATTACTTGAATAAAGAAACATGTATTTATATGAAACTAAATATAATATGACTAAAGCAAAGAAAAACATGTCTTGTTATAAATTTTTTTTTAATTAATTTTTTCAGTGACATAAAGTATTAATTTTTTTCGAGTATAATTATTAATAAACAGTAAAATATGACTAATGAAGATCACATAATTCTACTAGTAGATGTTCTAGTTACGAAGAAACTAATGAAAAATGAATTTAAGTGTTCATAATATCAAAGTATTTTTGTTTCACAAAAGAAGTTCTCGAAAAGCGGAAATCTTATCAACTAAGAATATGATCGTTCAATATAGTATAACTAGAAGTTAAATATCCTAGGTTTAGTTTAGAGATAAATTACGCATGACTGAAATTACGAATTTTGAAATTTATAGGCAATATGTCTTATTTCATTCTTGAGTCTTAGGTTTGTTTTTAAAGAAGCTATTAAACTAGAATTTTTAGTGTACACATCCCAAGTAAGGATCTTAAACAATTGAAAGTTTCAACTGACAAGAATAAGAGTTTAAAATAAAAGGAAATTTCAAATATTCTTAAATGTAATAATTGAAACATAAATTCAATTATTAAAGTCATTTTCAAGTAATCAACTGTCAAATTAATCTTTGAATAAGTATAATTATCTGTCTGTAGTTTCTTTGACACCGTTACCTTCTACATCTGTGCTCATGTATCTATAAAGATTCTTTTCGCACTTAAGTGACATATACTTTTATCCTTGATATTCAGAATATTACCATCGTTGAATTCAAGTTTCTATTATAACATGTATATGATCAAAATCTTTCTCGAACTTCTCTATTTCATTAGTAAATATGCCATAGTCGAGAGTCATTTAGAACTCTTTATTTTATGAAGTTCTTGTTCATATTACCTCGAATAAATTGAACAGTTAATCAGCATTCTCATCTTCTTGTTGTAATGCAATAAACGATAATAGAACTGAAAGCTTCTCAAACAATCATTTCTGAAGTAATTGCATGATTCGATTCAGTTCATTCATTATATATTTGTAAGAATATGATACACTATATTGTTCTCTTTTTACATTCCCAAACGATAATCTTTTTTCTCTCCTATTTTCTGCATCACTGCAAGCAAGTCATAATAATCCAACAGTTGATAAATGAAGGGAAGCAGAGCTTTTTGTAGGCTCTTGTCATTTATTTTCGCTTGATATTTACACATATAGACAGAACATGAAAAAAATTTGACATCTTATTACAAAAATTATTATTCAGATCAAAGAGCAGTGAAGGAATAAAAGTAAAATTCATTTATCATAGAAAATCTGATTCTATTCGAGAATTGTGCAAAGAGAAATTACCTTAAACGGACCTTTTGTTATTAGGTGGTGAGCCATGGAAATCTATAAAGTTACATAGAAAATATTGAAAATTTTCTCTCTTTCTGTCACAACATTTATTCTACTGAACCAAAAGTATCAGGTGATCAAGATTATTATTTGTACTACACGCAATAAAAACTTTAATATAATACATTTCTGTTTTTTGTTTCAAGAGAACTAAAATTCAAGAATAAAACTGGAAACTTTACTTATACATTACAAAATTTATAACTTTAGCTAAAAAAAATTTACCATCAACGTAACTTATGATCTTGTACTTCTTTCGATCTCTTATTTAACGAATATATTCTTAATTCATATGACAATGATGTCTTTGTCAGATATAATTATAAAATCTAAAACAAAAATAGGGTCGTAAGGTGCATATATAAAATTGATTATCTTCTTATTGATATCAGATAGGCAGATTGAAATTCTAAAAAAAGAAAACATCAAATAAATCTTGATATGGAACATGAAGCCTGCAACGTGCTAGAAGATCTAGAGTTTTTTGTTCTATCTTATCGTTCTCAAGTTACAAGAAAGCCTTTTATTATGTCCTTAAAAAAAAACAAGAACATTTTTTTAGTAATCTCACTGATACTTCTTAGTTTCAATTGTTCTTATCAAATACATTGTTAGTAAACAAATTTATTTTACTTATTTAACATTCATACATTGGAAACGAAACAAATAATACCATGTGGATAAGAAGGATCGTCTTAATATAATGTATAATGACAATCTTTTTTCTAAAGAATAAGATCTGTCATCGGTAATATTTTATCTTCTATATAAATAAGTAGAAGCAAGGAAATTAAATCTTTTTTTTTTGTCACTCTTATTCAAGTCAGCCGTTTATATTTTAGAGTTTACTTAGTATAGAAGCAATTTGCTTACAAAGAAATATATCATTAACATAGTTATTCGTCCTAAGATAAACAAGAACTAGTACATTTATCTACAATAAAACACTTTATAAAATAGAAGTAATTGAATACATTTTCAAATCTTTGTTTTTATGTGTCTTTTTCGACAAATATCTATTTACAGAATGAAATACACTCTTTGACTAAGAAAGAATATCTCACCGAGCACACCTGGATGTATGTGCTTAACGTTACGTTTTTTCTCAATTATGAATGAGCTCTTTTGTGATAAGAACTTGCCTGAACTTCTGTAAGAAAGTGGAAAGATCGAGGGGAGCCTTTCCATTAATATGCAGCATGATAATACTGAATATGTTTCTTGTTTAAAAAAAATCTCGTCATCTGTAATCCATACGGATGCGTATTACTTTAATTAGGTCAAATGACTGTGGGAACGACTTTGTTTTGTATAGAAAATCTAGAAAACTTATTTAGAGTATGCTACACAAGAGCACTGAAGTGACTCGACGACAATTTCTTAATAAACTATTCTTTTGTATTACCTGTTTTGATAATTTTTCTCTCTTGAAACTAATGCATCGTTTAGATGATAGAAATAAAATATTGTCAACATTGAAAGTAAATCGTTATAAGGACATGAATGCTAAAAAATAAATCGATTAGTTGCAAAAAAATATTTAAAAGAAAAAAAAAACAATTTTCAGAACTGTGTCTTCTAATGTATTGAGGCTTTTACTCACTCATAAAGCATACAAAATGGAAAATTTAAAAAAAAAACTTATTAAAGATTTAGACATACAGTAAATTATTTATTCAGAATAAAGATTGAAATAAAATATTTAAGTATACAATATTTATTTCGGAAAATAACAATAATTATCTTTTACTTATTTATAAAGATACAAAACAACTAGAATTAGAATTTATCAAACAGTCAACTTCGATTTAAATGAGAATATGAGTTTGAAAATTTTTTTTGACAATATTACTTCGATATTATTATATGACTTAATTGTCATAGTATTTGTTTCTTACTTATAATTTGATAATATATTAAGGCGTCACCTGATTTCCTACATCGATGTTGGTTCAAGGACATTCAAATCGGATGAAAATTTTCAGGATATGTTGAAGCTATAGGGCAAAGGCTATGCTGAAATTTTCAGCTCTATATCACAATGTTTTCAGGCGATACTCATCAAACAAGGATCAAAAATAGCTCATTTATCAACTCAAAGTTCTCTGCGAACTCTCATTCTATATATATATATATATATATATTTATTGTTTTACTTGGAAGAACATAGCAAATTCAGTAGTTGACAGAGTTCTTTTTTCTGAATTCACAATTTTTATGCGAAGAAAAAAAGATGGCAAGTTGAGTATCTTGGAAAACTCTCAAAAATTGGTCTGGTACTTATGAAAAAGCTTTTTTATATGTTAATAAAAAAATTTTAATTCAAAAAAAACAGACACTTCAACTTTGCATGTTCTTTCAAAGAAAAAAACAAATTATTGATAACCATAAAGTTCTTTTAAGAATCTAGACGTGCGATCAGAGAATATCAACAAAGAGAAAAACATCTGAAAAAAGGCGCCAAAGAAAAAAATGAAATCATATAGTGTATGACAAATCTGACTTCAAGCTATCCTGATATTCATTTTTGTTAATATTGATAATTGTGATGAAAATGGACGTTTTTTTGAAGAGAAGGATCTTAATTAAATTAAAAAAAAAAAATTCATATTCATCTATTTTTCGTCTATCTGAAAAAAGTAATTAAATATAATCTAAAACAAAAGAAAGCATAACATAGATAATTAACATATGGGGTCGACATATACATTTTATTTCATTAAATCTATTTGTTGGTCATGATCGCAAACCAAACATTAAATGAAAATTATTATATTCAATCATAGAAACATTTGATTTGATTCATCAAACCAAGCGCGTTTTTTAGTAAGTATCTAATCTGTTTTTCTCTCAATGACTCATGTCATGTTCAGCCAAAAATCATATTTACACTAGTAAATATCTTTAAATCGTGTAAATATTTCAGACAAAAAGTTAGTATTTAAGCATCTATAAAATGTACTATAGAATTTTCTTTTTCAATTTAGAGATCAACAAATATCCATTGATAATAAGAATACTAGATCAGACTTATTCAATAATATAAATAATACATGGGAAAAATCCATTTCAATAATTAATACAAATTCTTCAAATAGTTATGAAATATTTTTTCTTAATGTTTCAATATTCAATGAACGTCATTTTGATACATAACAACAGTTAATCATGACAACATCGATCGAACGAGATAAAATTAATCATCAATTAATACTTGAAATATTTGATCGCTTATTAAAATTTGGTACTGAACCTGTAAGTGAATTTTGTATTCATACTAATGCTCATTCAAAAAAAAAAGTCGATGCGAATGTTTTTAATAACTTTTCATAAAAACAAGATAGAGAGATGCGGTTTTCACTTTTAGAAAGAGGAGATGAAGATGTATCGAACTGTATATTGGGTCTTTTTTCAATATGGTTTTTCAAGGTTTTTGACCGACCTTTCTGGAAATCCATGTACCATATGCAGTGATTATAGTGGATTTCCAATAATGAGCTGTGCATCCAAACCACCGATGGAAGCTCTACAAAACTATCCAAAACTCAAATATTTGGGTCTAATTATTCAGAAGTCCTAGGTATTCTAATCAAAATTTTGGGTCGATTTTTCAAGCAATTGCTATGAAATAAAATACATTTATGCTAAAAAGAACTTTTTTTCTCTGATACTTTTTAAAAAATAAATTTAATTAAAAAGCTTCAAAAACTATCTTAATAGAACTTATAATATATGACTCTATGCAACCTCGTCTCCTCTTTTCAACGGTGAAAACTGCAATGCTATATGCTGTTTCTATCAAAAATTATTCAAAAAAAAATACTCATCCATCTATGTTTTGTTTGAAATGGGCATTAGTGGTGTAATCAAAGATGCGCTAGACCGGACGCAGCTCTACTATTAGAACAAAGAAAAACGTAATAATCTCCATCATTGATACTCTATTGCATGAATTTTTATCAAAACTGTAGGGCACTATTCGCTTACGCCTACGGTTTCTTGTTTTGCGCCGCTAGTATTAATATGTAATAATCAAAAGAATTTTTGTTAGGATCGTCGATTATTCTGTCAACGTTTACAAACAATATGGCACGAACAAGGTATATTTTGTCAATCATATCCAACAATTACAAATCAGATACTTGATTTATATAAATTACATCACCTGGTTCAAGAAAAACAAGGATATTTAGAAATAACAACGAATCGTGGTTGGAAAGAAATATCAAATATATTAGGTTTTGGTGATTCAGGTAGAGAAGAATTAGATATTATGATAGAATTATTTTTTTGTTTTGTTTTGTTTTAAAGGTTCTGCTGCATATAGTGTCAAACGAAATTATGTTCGATTAGGCTTATTAGCTTATGAATGTCAATATGATCGAGCTGGTCTTGATCCACGTTCAGTTATTGAGTTATCTGAAATGCCTCATACAGTTTGTGTTGAAACAGAAAAAAAATACATCCTTTTTTTTGTATATTATACAATTTTAGGTAAAAAAGAGAAAGCGTGGAAATAATGCATCAACAACAACGACACGTGCAATTGTTAAGGTTAATTGAAAAAGTAGATCAAATCTGCCTAAATTTGATATAGTTTTTTTTTAAAATTTTCATACTATGAAATCAATTCGAGACATAATTTAAATGAACTATGAGATTTTTGTGCAATGTCTCGTTGTCTAATAATAGAAAATATGTCTTAATCACTTTTTTGCTTGTCAATGAAAATTTCATTGAATCGATTGGAAGGTCGCTAAAACTGATCTATGATACTCACACTAAGACTACTTTCCTTTAAAAATCGGCATTGAGTCAAATACATGCAAACCTTATGAAGTTTTCAAATTATAGTAGAGGAGCTGTGTATAAATTTTCAGCTCTGCACCGTAATGTTCTTGAGAGATATTAATCGAACTAGGATGAAAAAAATCGTTCTTACCTTTTATGCAGAGGAAAAAGATAACAAGTTCAATATCTTGGAAAGCTCTCGAAAAATGATCTTCTATTTATAGAAGTTCTTTTTTTTATATCATAGTAAGAAAGCTATTCAAAAGACAGGCACAGAATCGTCACAGTCTCGTTCAAACAAAAGAAAAGCAATCGACTACAATGAATCTCCTTCGAGATTTCGGATGTGCACAATCAGAAGAACATTAACAGAGAAAAAAAAACAAAAGATTTCTTGTCGAATACAATATGATGGATATTCTCAAACAATTTTGGAAAAGCACAATGTATTAAATAAAAAAAATTGCATTTTTTGTGAAAGACCCGATCTCAAACTGTTATTTCATGCATTTATTTTACTTCCGATTAGTCTGACAAAAATAGATCAGTTATGAAAAACAATATCAAAGAAATGTTGAAATATAGGGGTAGAAGCTCTGACTTCTTCCTCAGCAGGTCTTGATAGGCATTATTGATAGACGATCTGTGATCGTCTATCAATAATGTCTCATTACAATTTGTGAACTACTTATTGCATTTCCCGTAGACTTCACTAAAAGAATGGCGAAGAAATGTGTGCTAAAATACATAGAATAAAGCTATTTTCTAATGATTAGCAACAACAGCTACATCATGCTTCACATTTCAATGTTGAAACAATTGTCCTAACCACATTTTTTTGTCGGGCTCAAACAAACCAGAACAAATTCGTGTTAGAGCATAAGAAAAATCCGGAAATTGATTTCCTATTGCATACAATTAGTTTAATTTCTGATCAAAATTAACGAAGCAAATCATTTCTCTTGCGATAATTTTTATCTGACAATAATATTTATGTGTATAGTTGCTTTTTAATTAGACTAATAAACAACAACTTCAAATGCTTTCTATGCAACATGAACATGATAATATAAAAAAATCATTAACATCAACAATAGATATTCATGATTTTACAAAATATTCTTCTCGGCATGAAAATTTTTCATTGTCATATCGTCTTACACCACAACAAATGCCAATCAATAATATTCAACATTTTGCTTATATATTACGTGCTGATTGTTTAGCTGATAGTAATAAATATTTAGATACACTACTTGTTTGGCTTAGTGATCAACATACAGCTTCATATTTTAATTTAAAAACTTTACCAGGATTATTTAATGCTATTATGGAACAATATATTGGTAAGTCTCTTTGCTTGTTGTTATATTATGATGCATTTCAACTGAATATCTTTCCTTTGTATTTCTTACTTAAGACTATTATAGCTAGGTTTTTTTCAATAATGGATATACAACAAGAAAGTACAGACTTTACTATATTGCATAACATATTAATCATAAATAACAAATAGACATCAAACAACAAAAAATGCATCCGAAAAAATTTGTTTTTCTTTCCACTATAATCTGTAGGAAGAGTAAATAGGATTTTTATCTTTTCGTTCGTTTTGTACATATCTGAAAAAAAATTCATCTTCAAATTGGTGCTTATGTCGTTACGTCGTCGATCGAGATTCTAACAAACATTAAATTTGTCCTGTATTCTGTATTCATTTTCTTTGTTTTCTTATCGTCTGTTCCTTTGCCAATGCCAACCCTGGACAAATATCGCATATATTACAAAAATATCATCATTGAATAATCTAAGTTGGTATTCATGTAAGGAAGCCGTTATGCAATAGAATCCTTAGGTCCAAAGTTTTTAGACCTGAGCTCGAGTTAGATCCGAGACCAATTCGACGAGTTCGCTTAACTAACCGTAATATGAAAGCTTCTATTACTGGATTTACAAACTTGCTTCTTTATTATAAAGAGAGGAAATCTGCAGTGTATATTGTAAATACGCTATTATTTATGAAACTGGTGTATATTAAGACAAATCATTCATCGAAATAAGCAGGACTATTCCGAGGTCACCAAGATTACAGAGGAGTCGACCTTTGTTATGAGATCGCTAGGGCAAAAAAAAACGAAGAAATTCATTCAGTTTCGCTGAGTAAAGAACGAAAATTCTCTCACATTAGAAGAGGGCAGAATCACCCCTCTGATGTCCTTCCGTGGCGCTCGAGACAACAAAATAAACAAGTATTTTATATCTTCTAATCCAGATGAAAGGTACACTCTAGTGAAAAAAAAAATATTATTTTTTTTCTGATGTATTTTATTTTTGTTGGATTTCTATTTACTATTTATGATTATTATATTATGCAGTGCAATGAAGTCTATACTTTCTCACTATATATTTATTATCGAGAAAAAAATAAACTATAATGGTCTAAAGTAAGAAATACAAAGTGAAGAAATTTAATTTAGATATTTTCTATTTAGCTTGCCTTTATGAATTATTTGGTCCATCATTCTTACAACCATCGCCTACAAATGATTGTTATACAAAATGGTTTCTTCAATTAAAGTTACGAATAAATGATAGTGCAATAGGACCAATTTCAAATCAACAACATTTAGAATCATTATTTTTTGGTACACATCGTTATGTTCTTAAACGATTAATGACAAAAACTAATAAACCAAGATTTATTAGTTATTATAATAATGGTAATCAAAATTCTTTACTTTCATTTGATTCATTACAATTCATCAATCAAAATGAAAAAAATCAATTATCTAATTTACATAGTCATACTCGACAACAAAATCGATCGAAATTCTATACAAATGATAAATCAACAAAAGAAATCATATCTTCAATCAATGATTTTATTCAAGATAACAATCATCAATATCTATCAAGTTTTTATTCTATTCAACAATCGTCACAAGATGTACTAATCGATGATGATCATAATAAACAACATACTGATCGTTATCATTCTATTATGATACGATGTTCATGTCTTACAACAATAATACGAAATTTATCATTTATTGAAGAAAATGAATATTTAGCAAATGATCGTCGTTTATTAGATATTTTCGAACGAATATTAAGTTGTCATCATCAAGATTTGCACAAAATATTTAGTTATGAATCATATTTACATCAACAATATTTTCATACATGTCCAAATTGTTCTGATATAATTAATATTGATGATACACAATTGGAGTCGTCAATTGATTCTACTGCTCAGGTATACTGAGAATAGCTAAAGTTTTTCATGTCTTTCTATGTCTGAACAGTAGACAAGCCTGTAGAACGAAATAAATCAAAAAGACTTACAAAAGAATCAATCGAAATGATTCATTAGTATTTAGCTTATGTTTTTGTTTAATCTGTAGTGAGAACTATATGAAGTATTTTTGATCATAAACTTTGTCTATAAATAGATCGCATGATTCTAAGAATATCCTCTCAAGTTCTTGGTCACAACAATTGTTTCTTTCTTAAAAAAATTCAACATTGAAAAATGTTCAATTATTCTGACCGTTTCGAAAATTGTATCGGTGTTTAAATATTAAATATTTCAAAAAGGTCGTATCATTAGAAAAAAGTCAAGGTCAAAAGTAAAATTTCTTGAATAATAAAATCATAACTTTAATGAGCATCGCTTCTTGAAAGATGGTCTTCTATTACGGATTATTTTTTTTTTGCTAATATTTATTTAGAAAATGAAAGGTTTCCGGAAAATTCTTTTAGTATTCTCACAGGTTTATTTAGTGAATAAGTGCCAGAAAACCACAATTTTGACTAAAATAAATTGTCTCAGGTAAACAAATATTATTTTACCCTCGAATTCTTTTGACATTATTCTAATCTAGAAGTTCTCTCTATTTGCCTTGAATATGAGCTCAATAGGTCATGAATAAGTTCGAGTAGTTTAATCATTAGTTCGTTTCGAGTGTTGATACAAAACTAAGTCATGGATTGCAAGATCAAATCTGCGTCTAATTATCTTTGAAATTTGAATAGATCAAGCAAAAATTAATATATATTTCAGTCTATTAAAAAAAGTGAGCTCATTAAGATTTGTAAGAACAATCAATTTCTTCTATGCGGCAGTCTTGCAATTGTATAGATTTCTGCATTCAAATATTCAGACTATTGGTTAACGACAAAACTAAGCTAGACTAATATCATCGATAGAAAGTGTTTAAGAATTCGTCAATAGATAGTATTGATAAACTCGATAAGATATGATGAAGCTTCCGCACTGAAACTTCAATATGCTTTATTCTCTACACTCATACTACCTTGTTTTTACATAGCTACAAACCATTTACCTTTTGTTCACCAATTGCCAATTATATGGGTTTGACTGTACCTATCCTCTTTATTTGATTGTTTCTGTCTGTGAAAGATGGTAGAAACAATCAAATTGAAATTTTTACTACAAGTGGAGCACTAAAAATAAGAAGGCATGCAATCGATGAAAAACATTTGAAGTAAAATTTTGCAGCTTTTTTGCTGAAAAATCCTAGTTTTCATAGAGTATATCATAGGTAATTTGGAGATATTCTAAAAATCTCACTTTTTTATGAGAGAAATAAGTAAAGGTTCGAAGTCAAAATCAAGAGTCAAGTATCATTGGTGAAAATTTCAGCTCAATCGATTGTACGTCTTAGAAAGTTAGAAACGATCAAAAACAAAGAAATACTCTTACCAATATATGAATACTCTTCGCTAAAATATGTATGTAGTTGTCTTGACTAAGAGAATTGGTTCGTCACTTCCGTGTGTTCGATGAACAGTCGTTCAATAGCTATCTCCTAGTAAAGCAGACATCGCTGAACACTTACTAGTCTTTCTGGCAGAATTTTTCTTTTGTCGTTCAGTCTTTTTTTTCCTGTCAATATGTGTAACTAACATAACGTTCTTTTAAGATCATAATGATAATAAAAGATTTTGTTTAGGTTGATAATGTTAATCTACTGAATGACTTTTTTCAAAAATTTACTCAAGTTTCTAAAGATATAAAAATTGATGATCCACTTTCTTGTATAAATGATTGTAATCAACAACATTTAATGTATCTTCTTGATAATACATTTATCACACTTTCAAATTTTTCAATATTTATTGAATTTCGTCATTGTTATTCAATAACACGGTATCGATTTATAAATACTCTTATTCATTGGATATTATGTTCATTATCATTTGCTAATGAACCATTTATTTCTATGATAATGGAAGATAAAATTTCAATTAACTCAACTATAAATAATAAAAAAAAAGAAAAAATTTATATTACACCACGTCAAATATCATTACAAATCTTAGCTAAATTATGTACAAATGAATTTAATGTTGATTTTATAATACTTGATTTAAGTATAAAAAAACTTAAATTATTATGTCATACTCTTCTTTCTCTTATGAATACAATAAATCAAGATGATATTGATCGTGAATATTGTTTAATAATTATATGTTCATTATGTAAACGTAATCGACAATTAGTTGAATTTTTTTGTTCCCATATAATTTGTATTGAATTAATATTTAATTATCTTGAATTATATGAATATAATCAACAACAATATTTAATAACAACATTAACATCATGTTGTAATACAACATTATCATTAACAATACCAATAAATTCTCCAATTAATCATTCAATTGATATGATGATTGATTCATGTATTCAACTATTATTATTATTTGCTTCGATTAAAGAAAATAATTATTTAAAATTATTTGAACATAAACTTCTTAATATGTCATCATCGATTTATTTCGAACAAAAAATATTAAAATCATTTGCAGATATATTATATATGATGAAGTTATAAATCTTTAAGTGTTGTTTTTCTTTTATATTTACTAAGTTTGTTAATTTGTTTTTTTTTTCTTTTTACTATTGAAATAAAAATGTTATGATTGAATATTATTTCAAAATCTATTTCTATTACTATTGTACATCTTAAACTTCAGTTTACTATTAACTAATATTTATTAATCTTCGTTTTTAGTTAGAAGCAACTACCTGAATAATTTAATTTCTTACTCACCTTCAAATAATTTCTTTTTCGATAATGAAGCGACAATTACATATTTCATATTTGGAAGCAAGAATATTCTTAGTAATGATCGTCATAACCAAATAAACATACTATGTTTTATATTCTGTTAGATAGTGTCAAGAACGATTAATAAAATGTCTTATAGATACATTTAAGTATATCCGCCTTTTTCTCTTTTGTTTTCTGCGTCTTAAAACATATGGTTAATAGTTTTATTTACTTTAGAACAGAATATTCTATTAATTAGAAACTCAGTTGAATCAAGCGAAAAAAACCTGAATTTTTGCTTATTAGAATTGTTTTGATTGTAATCGGCTTTTTCTTTCCTTGGTAGGAAATTCTTCAACCATGAATAAGCAAAAAGAGCGAAAGCACTATAAGTTCGAATCAAATGCGCTGTTCTGATTCGTATGTTCTTTTATTTTATTGCATAATGTCTCTTTTTCTACGAGTGTACAAATTGTGACAATTAGTTTGCAAAAAATTGTTATCTGATGGTTTCTATTGTTTCTCATTTTCAGACTATTTGAGCTATATTTTCATGATTTAACCATCTTAAGATTCTGACAGGATAATGTAAACTTCCTATAACACTTATACTAAATCACTTCCTAGCTTTCAAGATGAGATTCATGAAAATGAATACTAACTAAATTCGTCTATTTTGTTGCCTCTGAAACGTCTTTTTTTCATTTAAGACAATTACAACTAAACTTTATCTCGCATATAATTTATATTTGTTTTTTTTATTTCAATTATTGTACAACATATTGTTGCGAGCGGTTATCATCAAGAAACAACAAACAGAGTTATTAACGATGGTTAACTATATTCTTTGCATTAGAGACATCGAGTTTTTTCTTCATGGATACTAATCAAATTTTGTCATGTCACATCAGTAAAGGTTACAGTTTGTTCATTTTTATTTAATTTAGTATTAGAGATGAACAAATTCCAATAATCATCAGATTTTCAATGGCTATGTACTTGATTGTGGGTGTGGCAGTTTCAAAATATAAATCATCATTAGTAAAAGTAATTGCCTTTTTTCGACTGATAAACAATAATTTGATTTTTATCATATGAATAATTGTTCAAGAACAGAAATACAGTTTTTCTTCATGCAAAGTTCTTAATTCTATGTGAGTTGTAACATTATAATAATGAAAAAATAGAGAATCGATCTACTTTAATTCACACGTTAGCTATGTACAAGATGTAGATTGTCTTAACTTCAGTTGAAATTATTTCAAAGTTGAACAAATATTAATATTAAAAATCCAGAACCATTAATTGTGCTTTATAAAAGAAATGCAGTTCGTTTAGTCTCTGCACGACGAAAATGTAAAAGACAAGGTAGCTGTTTTTGAGAATCCAAGACAGTTTGTTTTATTCTATCTAGTTCAGAATTGGGCCACTCAATTCAATTTAGTTCATGAATCTAGTTGATTAGAATGAAATCTGAAAAAAAATCTTAATCAACGTATTGAATTGAAGAATTCTTTTTCGAGATCTGTGAGTTCGATTGAATTCAACGCTAAGAAATTTTTAAAACTATTGTTCTACAATCAATTTACACAATAAAACTAATGAAATATCAAGTTATGACTATGATTTGTTTTGCATTTTCTCTCCAGAGCTTCTATCTCGAAGTAGCTGAATCACCTTCGTATTCGTTCTTAGCGATGAAAGTGAAAAATAAGTTAAATCCTTTTGTAGAGAACTGAATTCTGCATCGGACAGTATGTTGTATAGCATTTTTTGAAAAAAAACTCCGGCTAGAAGATTTAAAGTACGGTTTTTGAAAAGTTTATAACCCGGTTCTCGATACCAAATCCTAATTAAAAAGAAAATAAATGTCGAATTCGTCATTAACGTTGAAAACTCTACGTAATAATATATTTAGACATATTCAACTCGAAAATAAATTTTTTAAAACTTGATCAATGCACGGTCACGTTACGTGGACAAGCCGTGTTACTTTTTTTGTGATCAATATGAATCAAATTTTCGTTGAGTCACCACCTTATTATGCCTTACTCTTTCTCGGTCTTCTCTTAGAGACAATAAATAAGAACGTCCTTTTTTATTTGGACACGACCAAGAATGCATCAATGCTAAATAATGTGATCACTGCTTAATTGTTGATTAAACGCTTCTTTTTTTATCATTGACAGTCATACAAGAAAAGAAAAAAAAGGAGAAAACGACTATTTGAATGCATATAAGTCTCCAGATTTTATATGGATAGAAAGACATAATTATGAAAATTTATGTTCCAATTTACTCTCCTTCGGTGATGATATACGCCATTAACTACGAGAAAAAAACCATACTTTTTGTACAAAAAATGAATCTATTCCTCTCGTCACGCATGAGAAGAAAATATTTTTTTTGTAAATTTGTGCTTGCTGGGTAATCCACATGCCTATAAAACTGAAGCACAACTATACAATCATACCATTCTGTTATTTGTTTGTATTCATCTACCACTTTATTACCAAACGCTGAAAACTATCAAGCAGCAATGACCCAAACATATGCAATAATATGTTTGATCGCCTCTTCGGTGATGCTGCAACAATTTACATTGTACAAACGCCTTCAGTAGAGAATACAAGTACAAAACGTCTTCTCCATCATGTACTGAACAAACGTACATTATCTTCACTTACCACAACATTTCTGGTCTCAACACCGGTCATATAATCAACTTCAAATCTTTGCTTAGGTTTGGACAAAATATCTTAATAGTCGCTTGTTATGAATTGTTTCTTCATCGGGTGTATCTCGATTATATAATCAACTGTAAATCTTTGCTGTGAATTGGACAAAATATTTGAATATAGGTTAGTATTATTTGTTCACCGTTAGCAGATTGCAACAAGTAAATGCCAGTTATCGTTTCTTTCAAGTGAGAGGCATATTTGAATAGGTTGTTGAAGCCAGGTATGTTGTGTTGATATAGTGTTAATAATAATTCATTGAGAGGATGTTCTGATAATGTATTCTACCATAAATATTTTCGTTGATGAATTTATTATCATTTTCAATATTTAATGATTTTGAAATATTTCAATACTTTTTTGAAAGATGATATGAAATAAGTTCTAAAATATAGGGATAAAAATTTCGACCGTCTCTCTCAAAGCTTACTAGACGTTAGACAGAGACTATCATCGATCATGGCAGACGTTGTTGATATTCGATCATAGACCTTATATCTTAAAACGTCTTGTTATAATACATTGAACTAATTCATTATTGCATTTCTGCAGAATTGAAAAGAGAATGAAGAGAAATGCCATTTTAATACTGCAGAGATAGCACTAATAGCTTTGTTTTCTTTGTAGGACATATGGTACAAATATAACTCACATTCTTAAATGGGATGGTACCATCAATCATTCTAAAAATCAACAAACATTATTGTAACATCCTCGATGATGTCATACTCTTTACCTTCACTCCTTGGTTGAATGAACCGTTCACCTGTCCTTGTCACTTCTTCTCACTATATGCGTGATCCTTCGCTTGTCATTTCTTTTCATCATATACATTGTCCTTACCTTCTTGGCCTTTCTTTTCTGTCCTTACTTTATTATCCTTCTCTTTCTAGCCTTACTGTATTGTTCTCTCTTTATCTTTTCTTTGACTTATTTCTTCGTTATTCTTGTATTGAAATATAAAACGGAGAACCGTATGTTCATGAGTGTCTGTCCATACAATGTGAAAAAATATAATAAAGTGTAATCACAGCTGCACTAACGTTGCTTTGAGCAGAAATCGTCACACTTATCTATTTGTTAGTTTTCTGCTCTCATATTTTCAACTAACTATTTGCCTATTTTTTGTATTCTCTCAACCTATTTACTTATTTCCTCATATATGTGGAAATTTTTTCTCTTCATTTTTTCTCGATTTTTCATTAGTATTCTCACTCAGAACGAAGAGTCATAGACTAGGATCTTGTCAGATCCCCTATGGTTCCCAGAATCGCTTACTAACTTCCGACTGTAACAGCCTCAGGAATGCCAATACTCCTGATCTTCACTCTTTCGTTAATAAACTGATCACCTTTCCATGTCACTTTGTGTTATCCTTCTCTTGTCATTCCTACAACCATATACCTTGTCAATATTTTTCACTATATGTGTGATCCTTCTCTTGTCACTGCTTGCATTGTCATACATATTCGGCCTTCTCTTTCTCTCCTCACTGCATTGTTCTTCTCTCAATTTATCATCCTTCTCTTTCTGTCCTTAACTTGTTGTCCTTCTCTTCTGTCCTTACTGTAGTGTTCTCTCTGTCTTTATCTCTTCGTATAAAAAGGAAACCGTGTGTCACTATGTATGTGTGCTGATACAAGATAAAGAAGGTATAATAAAGTATACATCCCATCTACACTAACGAGAAATCGGTACACCGACAGAATCCTATCAGATGTTGTCGGAATCCTATCGGAAGCTGTTCGATGTCGGATGCATAGAGGGTCCGATGGAATTCTATTCAATTCATACATACATATTCGACCCTTTTTTACTCTTTCCCCTTATCACTTCTCTACCCTTGCGTCCTTTTTCTCGTGCAATTAGCTAAAAATTAAAAGCTTAATGTTAGTTTATTTTTCGTATTATTACATTCAATTGTTGAATAATAATTGAAATGAAAATAAAGGTATAAAAATAGATTAAAAAATCAAGTTAACCTAAATTAAAATGAAAAAAATTTAAAAAAGTGGATAAACTATAATAAAATAAAAATAAAAATAATTACAATAAAATAAAATAGAATAAATACAATAGAATACAAAATAAAATCATGCTAAAAATATAAAAATAACTTAGCACAGTCTAGCAGCAATAACAATGCGAAATGTTGAATTGGGTCTGACACACAAATTGTGTCTAAAGTAGTAGACAATACAATAGCTGCTCTATAATTAGGTTCCAACTGGTTGAAACGATTATTGAAAATATAGTCATTCTGATAAGAAATGAAGAACAAAGTATTTTATAAGAATTTCAAGTTCAAATTCATTGTTAGAGTAGTTGAATATATTGTGCTGTTCATGGATGATGATAAAGACTTCAAATCTAATCTTAACTCGACAAATATGGATCTTAAATGAGAGAATTTTTTTTCCTTTTTTCAAACGAAACATGAATACTTATTCGTGCCTCTTTAATCTTGACATGTGCATATCTCCTTTCGGACGAAACCATCCCTGTTCAAACTTGTAGTGATAGAAATCAGTATTAGAACATCGTTTTTGTGAAAGTTTAATCTTACAGCAGAGTCTCGTTGTGGAAATGTGATCATATTATTAAAACGCACTGTTTATAAAAAGAAAAAGTCAACATTCTGATAAAAATAAGATAGATCTTCACTTGTGCTCGTGTTTCTAAAATACTTCAACGAATGTCATAAAATATTCAGACCAGAAGAAAAAATATAAATCATTTAACACTCCATCCAATTACACACTTTATACTACATATGTTTGTGTTCGCCAACAGACGACTGATTCTAGGCAAAAATTACTCGTTTACTTCGCATTTTTCAGATAATTCAATGTAGGATGCTTTTATTGAGTTATACCTAAATATTTTGTTGCTCTTGATCAAATTAAAGTATAAAGAGAAAACCTGATTCACATGAGTGTTGTATCCAGAAAATAGATTTCTTTTCCCTAGTTGTTAAAGTAATCGTATACGTTATATATCATATTATTACTTCGAGTACATTTCCTTGTACCTGAAATAGTGCTTTGAAGCATTTTAGCAAATGTTTATTAGCCAACACAAATACAAAATTATGTTGCAAATCTGTGACTAATAGCTTTTAGTTGTCAGATATATCTTGTGTTGCTTTTATCAGTTTTAACATACGCTTTCCTATGGTTTTATAGACAATTTTATGTTATATTTCGTGGAAAAAGTCAGTCCGAAAAGATACGAAATGATACGAGTATAAAGAAGCTACTAAAACATGCGTTTTTTCTTTTATGTCCGTTATACTGGATAATCTTTGTTACTTTTCATGAATATCAGTTTTATCGGAAAACATAATTTTTATTCATACAAGTTTGATTTTTCAAAAATAATTTGAAATTATTGTTATAAACAATGAAATAAATGTACAAAGAATAAATACGTTTTTATGAATAGCTGAATTCGGAACGCCTCTTTTACATTTTGTTGGCTCTAAATCTTCATATTCTGGTATTTTAGTTAGATTTATATAGTCAAAATTGCCTGCACGACCAACCATAACGACACGTGGTGCATCATTATAAAATTCCTGCCATTGAATTACTGAGTCGGGTGTCCATGTCAATTCTTTTAACCATTTTCCAAGTGCTTGATAATTTAATGAGGATCTTTAGAGAAGAGTATGTAAATTTAAAAAAAGATTGTTCAAGAAATAAATCATATAAACTTACTCTGAACTATTCATTTTTTCTTTCCATACTTCTTGAGAAAAGAATGTCATACAACCGTATACATTTCTCATACGAGGATAATAAACAAACATATGTAAACACATTTCATCTCTTGTTCTTTCACCACCCTAAATATTCATATTTATAAAACAAACTAATTTTCATTTAACTATTCTTACCAAAGTTATAACACTTTTATTTGACGTTCTATAAATACAACGAGTCGCTAGCTCATCACCCTACAACAAAAAAAAACGATAGAAAACTAAAAAAAAAAAAAGAAAAGAAAAACAATCATACGGGATACAATTGAATTGGTTTTGGTAGTCGATTTTCAAATTGATAATTGAAATCATATGCATCAGCATTAAATAAATATTCAACCGCTGTGTTATTTCGAATTACTTTTGTCCATAGACTGGAACCTTTTTTTTTGTTATGAAAATAATTTATTTGCATCAATAAATATTTTGACATTACCTTGCAAATGAGTATGTGGAAATGCGGCAAGAACTGTTATTCCCGATTCAGGAAAATACTATAATATAGATAGATGTATTCTTACATAGAAGCCAATCAGCTAATTCGTTTTATTAAAATAACAGCAGATGTACCAGAAGATACGGTGCGAAAAAGCTTATTATATATGTATATCTACCTTCGATTTTTCAAATAGATAAAACTCTGTGTAACCAATTTTCGACGTTACGAACAAGATCGTTTTTTTGGTACATGACAAGTTTATTTTCTTATTTCTTCGATTAAAGAATGACATCAAATACCATAATCAATGATCGTACGTTTCCAATTATATTTAAATCTATTGAAACATGATTGTATGAAAATAATATTGAAATCTTTTTCTATAATTACAAGCGATGGTGGTTTAGATCTGCTAGGCAATGATTTCATCTATCAACAAGACACTGCCATGCTATACACACATGAGGAATTATTGATATGTTGTGAAGAGATTTCTATGTACTTTGGTCACTAAACGATCACAATGTCAATGTTACGGATAATTATCTATAGCATGCTATCATCCATAATATACAATTGAATACAGTTAAAGAGCTATGATTCCTTAAATGATGAAATAAGCCAAGGAATATGTCGTGTATCGAAAAACAATCTTGTTCAAAACGTCGAAAATTGGTCATACAGAATTTTATCGATTTTAAAAACTAAATAAACTTTGTATTGTAGATCGTCGAGCTTTTTCGTGCGGCATCTTGTGACACATTTTGTTTTTTAATAAAATGTGTTAGATGATGAAAAGATTCAAATACAAAATATGACCATTGTTTATAGCTCATCTGTTACTTACTTTTGTAGCCTCAGCTGGACAATAAGAATCGATTATAAATCGATCAGTTTCTGGTGGAATAGCAATAGCGGCATAACTTGAATCAGCACCAAATGTAAGATAACCAATATCGTATTGACGAAGTTCTTTTCCCAGATAAAATCGAATGCCTGAATTATCACGACGATCTAAATCAAATAATAAATGATAAGAATTCTTAAATTATACTTGATAATATTCTATACTAGATGTTAACTTTGGATTATCATAATGCATTTGAACCATGTAATATTTTATCTCAAAATCACCACCTACTGGATATCCACCAATCTCTGGAAATTCTACTATCTATACAAAACAAAAATCTTTTTTTTTGCAAGTAAAACTCTCATGTAAAAAAAAAAAAACTTACATCATCACCACCAACAGCCCATCCACTGGCAATATTTGAAGCACATTGAGCAATTTTTGGCATAATTTCATCACATAAACCATCTGGTAAATTGTTATCATCGAATACAGCTGTAGGATTACATTCATACAATAATAAATGATGAACAAGATCTCGATTATTTGGATCAATTAATGTTTTATGCTAAAAATGAAGAAAAATGATTGTAAAAGCAATTCAAATTGTATTCTTAAACAGAAATGAAATACATACTGCAATAGCATGTCTTCGTTGTGAAAAACTAGTTGGTGCTTTGTAGATTTTACAATGATAAGTCGTGTCATTAGATGGCACAACATACTGTAAGAAAATTCAGCAGATAACTCAAAAAGATAAAGTAATTTTCAAGTGAATAACTAACGTCTTTCAAGCGGAACTCAAAAGAGTCAAGACCAGCAAATTTTTCTTCTGGTGATGGATTACCATAAGATTGCAGTGGAAGAATGCGTGAACCTCGTCGCTTATCATGATAATATATTGAGCCATCTGATTGAGACATATCAGGATCATCAAGACCATAGGCAAAAATAAGAATATTAGTACCAGACTAAACATATATTCAATATTATAATAGTTTTATGAAATCAACAAGGAACAAACTTTAATTGGAACATCCATTGTATCGCAAGTATCAAGAAAACGTTTGAATTGAATAGCTGTCCAACCATTTTGTTCACGACCTTTTAATGCAAACCAGTCTTTTGTGGTATTATCAACTACTGGTCGTGAAGTGCCATATGCATATCGATCCTATAAATAGAAAAAAATAGAAGATTTTAGTTATAGAAAAAAGAAAAAAGAATTTAGTATATACTTGAAAATGAACTTCACCTGCTTTATCAACCCATCCAAGGCCAATATCGGCACCTTTCATTCCACCAGCTAGATATGACCAAAGAAAAGGAAAAGTTTGAGATGACAAAGAAATTATTTTTGAAAAATAATATATATATACCTGGACTAATACCCAAAGCAACCCATCCTAGTGTTTTAATATGTAATTCAAAAGTAATTTCTTGTTCAATTTCATCTACTGTCCACCAAAGATCAGCTACGTCAAGTTGAAGTTCAGTTGAATATCGATAAGTAGTAAATGGTTCAAGAGGACTTGAAATTCCATAACTATTTTGAACTACGAACAGCAATAAAATTGTATAAGACGTAGCGTATATCTTCATCATTTTTTTTGTTATCAAAGATTTCCAAGGTATCAATGTTCTGTTTATATATAGATGGTCTCACTATGTGGCATATATTTACCTTGACATTTTTCGTAAACCTATTAGTCAAAATTGTTTTTTTGCTCTGATCAGACTATAAACATGCTGTTGTTGCCAGGTAAAGTTTGTAGATATCGAGCCCTATGATATCGTGATGATATATTCTTAATAGTATGAGATATCACTCGTGTCATGAAATGATATAGCTTTTTTTTATCAAATTAGTAATCGCAATGATGATGTCACCTGCTGCTTGACCACAAAGATAAATTTTAATATTACTCATTTTTTTCTATACTGACTGTCTCAAAAGTCATGGTCACATGAAAAATACATTTAATGTCACTACTGAACAAGCTTATTCAAAAATACTTATTTTTATTTGAAAAAGGAGGACGGTAAGTTTTTATTCTTAAAGATCAAGTTCATCAGCAATGTGAAAAAAGGTAGGACTTTTGTTACAATATAAAAATTCGATTTTCTTCAATGTACAAAACTATATACAATGTTGTTTTAGAAACTTACTCGAATTTTTCTCGTAACTATGATCGTGAAATTATTCAAATGTTCCACTCCGACTTTGTAAACACTAATTCTGGCATATTCTGATGAAAAAGAAACTGACCAATTTTAATGATACATGAGTCATAAAATGGTCTCATGTACTTGTTGTCACGATGATCGAAGTTTTTGAAGAATCATGAACAATCTGTATTGAAGAAAGGTACTAATGATCCGATTCTTTAAAGATATGTCAAACAAACAGATGAAAAGCAATAACAAAAGATCTAAATGATCTCATGTTCATCATAATGATAGAAACTCGAATAGCTGTCATAAACAACAGTACATATTGCTTTTAAAATGAAAGAAAAATCGAATTTTTATATTTTAGTCAAAAGTGCTACCTTTTCTGCAGTATTAATTAACTTGATCTTCAAAAAATAAAAACTAACTAGCCTTCTCTATTAAGCAAAAAAAGATTTTTTTTTGATTACGCTTGCTTAGTAATGGAGTTATATGCATTTTTTACATGATCATGACTGTTGTGACACACTGTAGAAATTATATTGCATTAATTAACATAGTGTAGACTCGACATGAAATTATTTAATATTTTTATTCTTTTAGAACATTAAATATTTTATTAATATGATTAATTTTGTCGCTTAGAAGACAATCGTATTAGGGTTTTGACTTTTATATCGATAAATAGCGAATATATTTTCGGTGAAAATGGCAACTTTGTTTTGTTGAATAGATTTTTCGCGTCATAGAAAATTTAATAAGATTAACATTTACTCAATCGTATGAATGAGAAAGGGGAAAAAAACGAAAAATTTTTAGGGAATTTTTAAGAACGAATCTCCTGAAATTCGTATTATGCTAGATATGCTACACAAAACTATGAATCCTTTGGTATGATTTTCAAAGTGCTAGAACAAATATTTGTGAGAGAAAATTTTGAAATAGTAAGTGTTGAACTAACGAAAAAAAAGCTGGCTCCGAACAAATCTGAGCTATTGTTTTTGATTGATTCAAAGTGGCCTAAATGTTTCAACTGTTCAAGTAAATACATGCACCGTTTTGTTCAGAATTTAATTGGGTATACGATGGCACGAGAATCAGCATTTTATACGATGAGTCTGACTTGTGATAAAATAATTTTTCACAATGCATCCAAAAATACCATCAGGTATTAATTCGCAACTTTATTCTCCTGAACAAAACATGTAGAATTATACTAACATCGTGAGCATATTGAGCGAAAAAGTTCTCTCTCTTCTAATGTACAATATCTAGCTTTTAGAATCGGTTTTGATGAATTCACGTTCACACAAATCGTTTTTTATATGTAGTAAAATAGGAATTTGCAGTTTGACAATTCAATCGATGTTAATCTTATAAAGTTTACGTCTGCATGAAAAATCTCTCTGAAAAACGAAGTCAATAGTTTCATAGAAAAACACATTCTCTATCCAGCGCGATTCGAACTAAAATTTGAACAAGTGTTAAATGCCTCAAAGATAGAAAATAAAAGTGAGACATGCATTAGGGAGCATTCATTAGTTTTCGAAAAATTTTCCCAGATGCTAATAAGTTTTCTCAAACGTTTGTTCACGCACGCGGGTAGATTCTGCACCTCTCACTAGCGATCTTCTTTTGACAAAAGTGTTTTTCTCTTTAAATTCAGTTTCTACTCAATCTAACATTTATCATTAGACAAAATATCTAGAGAAGTAATTTTTTTAACAGACATTTGAAAATAATGTTTTAAATACTAGAAATCATTGTTAAACAGAAAAAGACCAAATATACAATACATAAGATGAATTATTTGTTTTTCTTTTTTTTTTATCTTTTCACTATCTGAAGAGAATTAATCTGAAAAAAGACACTTTCGTATTTTATCTTTTCTGTCTCACGATGCATTTTAGTACTTGAACGATAAGGTTAATGTGACTGTAGGAAAGTACTTCTGTAGATATTTTATCTTTGAACCACGGTAAACGGATTAGAAATTGAGCATGGTAAAAAAGCTCTCTGTCAGAATTGACATCATTAGAACTCTGATATTTGAAATTAACTCGATGAACAGCATACAATTATGTATATTTACAGGAAAAAAAAACGATTTATTATTTGGTTCACCTTTATCATTAGATGGGTTTAAAAGCGTACATATCAAACGCTATGCACGAAAGAGGAAGTAATTGAGATAAAAAAAAGCTCCTTATCTTGCAAATAATAAGAAAATAGATAAGGTTTGTTTAATGAAAATGTACTTGTTTATCATATGAACTGCAATAAAAACATTGTAAAACTACAGGTGGATTCTTATGGATTTGATAACTGCTGAATCTTCTTCGCCTTTCTTCCAAATGGTCAATCTAGCTATCCATTCTCTTCATTAGTTCTATTTTGCTTCGACACTCATAGACAACTCTTTATTGTTGAATATAAATCTATGTTCAGGCCCCGCGCGAGGGTCCTAGGTTTGGGGGGGGGGGGGTGTAAGACTCCTGAGGTAGTCAAATTTGGAGACAGCAAAATTTTTTTCTGCATCAGACCTAATATTCATCTTTCTCGTACAACCTGAAATGGAACAATTTTTCGCGGAGCGAAAACTTTTTGCAACCTTCTCAGAAAACTCGACTTTCTCTGGCAAATTTTCAAGAAGACAACCAGCGGCTGATGTGAGAAAATTCCTCAATACTTCTGCCGCCGAAGGCGGCCACTCTGGCGACGATTGTTCTCGACTAGGCTGTTTCGAAGGAAAAATGGACTAAATTTAGAAGTTTTTCTAAGTTAACCGCGATTACGCAACTGTTATTTTTCGTGAAGCGAAAATTTTTTTCACGTCAGACTCATGAAAAACTCTTCTTTTCCTTATTGTTCCCGAAATCAAAAAGTATTGCTATAACTCTTAGCAACTTCACCGCCGAAGGCGGCCACGCTAGCGACGACTGCTCGCAAATAAATCTGTTCAGAAGGTAGGAGGCGGTAAAGTATGTCATAAAAACAAGAAGATCAGAATTATTTTCAAGGCGAGTATGCCCATGCGGCTACTTCTTTATAAAGCGAAAAATTTTAATATTTCAGAATTTTGTAGCAAAAACCATCGTTTAAGCCGACATTTCGAGTAAAAAATCAGCTGATTTCTTCAACTTGCCATAGAACTTCATGTTTTGCGTCGATATCTCAACGATAGTTGCCGATTATTATTATAGAAAGATCATCCCCTGACTCCCATTTCCACTCAGGACATCTCTGAAAGATGTTTCTGAAAATATCTCTGTGAGATACTTTATAGATTCAAAAAAGTATTATCCATTTTGGTGGCTAATAATAAATAATTTTCAATTATTGAGGGGGTGTACACCCCCTACACTCCCCACTTTCGCGGGTCCTGTCTATGTTTCAAGTCACCTTCAAAAAATATCTCGTAATCAAAGCAGCACATAGTTGTTTGCCAGCGTATATTCTACCGCAAAAAAATATCTTTGATTGATGAAACTATTGATTAAAAAAGTTTGTTTCGAAATAAAGCTGTTACTTTTGACTGATTTTAATAGTTTACACTGACTGTCAATGATTCCAAGTGATCCCATCAATTGCTTTTAGTGTTAAGGTGCGCGTAATGCAAAAATTGAGCGGAAAATGAATTTACCTAAGTTGTACATCAATCGATAGAGTTTTTGATGCTGGTTAAGAATATATAGTTTTTAACATATTAGACCTTGTCTGAGCGAAGAAATTGACGAAATACAAAAAAATTTAGAAAAAGCAAAAAAATAGCGTTTTCACAAGAAATTTGAAGATTATTGTATCTTACATTAAGTTTACTTAGATAAAACTATTTTATTTAAATCGAGCATATAAAACTGTGGTATTTAAGTAAGTTTGATGACATTTGATCAATGTGGTCCAATTTGGCTAGTTTAACAAGATTCACGTTTGATTGGACCGAAACCTTCACGCTGTAAACCTATCTCCTTTTTTATTATAATAGCTAAAACTATTTTTTATATAGCATTCGAACCATTAGATCCATAAGAAAAAAGTTACATATGCTCTTAAATTAGTTCCTTAGCATTGTTGAGAAAATTCACTTTTTCCATCTGGATGGCTAAATAGCTAAAAAGTGGAGGTGAACTTCGAAATTTTTCCGGCAAACACTTTATTTTCCGATCGATTGAGTATGGTATTCGGAATCGGCATGAAAAACTGCGTTGAATACCCTATATTTTCTCCAATTTCTCAAAAAAAAAAAATTCCCATCAAAATTTGACCTGTGCACCTCCTCAGCTTTTTTTTTACTCAATTTTGCCTTGAGGGGGAGTACAGGTCAAATTTTGATGGGAAATTTTTTTTTGAGAAATTGGAGAAAATATAGGTTATTCAACGCATTTTTTCATGCTGATTCCGAATACCATACTCAACCGATCGGAAAATAAAGT